GGTTTTAATAAAATTTTTACAAAGAATAATTATGAGTAATTTATTATCTATTAATATTTTACATGCAAATAATGTATTAGCAAGAATATAAGCGAGGGAAAGACAAAATAGGACTTTCAGTTAAAAAATTATTGCGAAAGTAGTATCTATAGTATATATAGTAATCAATTGACGTGGTATAATCAAGAATTCTCATTAAAAAGCAAAAACGCATTAAAAATTACAGCAATGCGCTGATTAAAGCTTTCGAGAGCTTTCGACTATCGTGCTTATCACCGGAAGGATGATGCGTTTTTAAACGTGATAATTCGATTTATCACTCGTCCTGACATCGATATCGTATAAGTAGACATGCTTAACTAAATTTTCACGGTATCGCTCGTCAATCTATCCAATCTATTTATGGCGATTTGCAGCAGACGAAGAGCGATTTATTATTACAGGGAAGTGTAATTAGGAGATTTCATCGTGTGAGTAACGAGACTAATATTGAAACGACTATTCGAAATAGAAGGACTGTGTAATTCAAGGTATAAGAATATATAAATCTCTTTTTTTAATGTTATGTCTTTGCAAATATCGTGACAGAAATAAATTTTCTTGTATTATCTAAAAATGATATATTGTTATTTACGCACATATAATTTACAAGTTTGAGAGAGAGAGAGAGAGATATTTATATAATTTACAAGTTTTTTTGGAAGAATACATATAATTTATAAAAATTAAATGATAAAAATTTTTAATAATTAGTGAGCACTTCCATTAATTATATAATAAAAAATTTTCTGGAACTATTGATGTCTAGAATAATGATATAACAATTAAAGAGACTTGATCGTAAGGGTATAATCTCCGAAAGAAATTATCAGAAATTATAAATCATCTTGCAATTAACTGATAAATTTCGTCTCATTTCTTCTTTCGGATTAATTTTCTTCATCTCGTCGTCGCGACATTAATTCCGCCAACTTCCGTTACTCGGTGCTTCGTAAGACTAACCGCGATTATTACTCAGGAATTTTGAAGTGTATGCAAAGTGCATGTATGCATTCACGCATCGTCAACTTTACGTTATTTTATTACGTAGGAGGGGGGGGGGGATCTCAGTAACTTGTACAATAAAACTCGAGGCATTCAATTACGCATAATGCGCCTAGATAGTATTCTTCGCGACTAATTTCGAAGCAAAAATTTGCTTCATGTGTTTTACAAAAATTATGAAAAGTGCTATGGTTTAAATAAATAACAAATTGACTTACAATTCAAAATTAATTTAATAAGAAATATTTGATGGGGCAAAGGAAAAGTCAATTATGTAACTATAATAATATTTTTTGCTGGAATATTTTATAATTCATAGAATTAAATATTTTGATATTTGCACTTTTGAAGTTAATTAAATCAGCTAGGATAAATTAATTAATGTAATCATTACTTTTTTGTTATTGATTATTTCCTAATATTCAATAGAATATTCGCTATATTTTCGTGTTATCCGATACCGTTATCATTACAGTGTCATATAAATCAAGATACAATTTTAAACACAGCCGTAAAGATAGCACGATACATTGGTCATACGATGGAATTCCAGCGTGTTTCTTCGGGCTTCTTCAGCGTAAATTTTCAATATATGACAAATGTTCGCCGCGTTCGGTCTATGAATTGCTTGTAAATACAATAATTCCGTCCATTACATCTAGTCGATAAATTTGAGCCGCAGTTGTAACATTGTCCCTAAAAGTCAACGCGCTTAGATTTCAATTTAGATTCGACAATCTAAACGCGTCTCGAGGACGTTGAGGACCGGAGATGCTGGAAAGCGCCTCGCTCTTCCCAAATAAACCGTTCGAATAAAACTCGGTGGTATCCGTTGATGGATGCATCGGGATGCATCGCGATCGCGACCCTGATCCCACCTTCCTCATCTGCGACTATCGCGCGCCTTGTGATAAATATTTACCGTCGTATAAAGGCTTTCGGTATTCTTACAACGCGACGAAACGTTATGAAGCCACCTTGAGATACGAGCGATTAACGCGTAATTAAAATCAACCGAGGAGGAATCCGGCACCGCGAACTTTTCCTATAAGTTTATGCATTTATCCTCAGTGGCCGAACCGCGGGGTTCAGGCGGTGCAGGCGGCGACAAGCTTTGACAATTAATTATGCATTCCCATCAGAGTGCGAGGCTCGAGACAGAACTACAGAAGTATCCCGCTGGATCACCGTGAGCACGCGGCCGTTTGCTCCATACCGCGCTTTTTCCTTCGCCCACCTTCTTCTTCTCCTCCCCCTCCCCCTTCACCATGACTGCCTCTTTCCGCCTTTCGTCCTTTTCTTTTTTTTTCCCTTTTATTCGCCGTTTTACGGGGTAATAAATTGCGAGTAAACGAGCTGGACCGCGCTGACCTACGACGGTGCGGTTTTCGTTTCGCGGCTCGTTGCTGAACTTAATGCGACGCGCGCGCCTCGACGGCGAGGACGACTCGACGTCGCGAAAAGTAATTACGACGCAAGTTGAATACTTTTTAAATCGCGTTAGCCGACGTCTTCCAAGAGGCGGTGCGGGACCACCCCCGGTGATCCCATTCCTCGAGCGCGAGCGCTGGCTAAATCCTCACTTCCGAGGACATCAAAGGCATCCTTTAAATGCATTTAATTGTCAAATAAAAGGGAATTACTTTCTTTTCATTCTGTTTTTCTTTTTGCTGAAAATTATTTCACGGATAATACTTTTCATTGACGCACAAGAACGGTATATACATTACTAAATAATGACACTTACTTCTGTTTGAAAAATGAATGAGAAAAATGTGGAAGAATTGCCTCAAGTAATTTGTAATCTCTTCTACACTGTTAGATATCAAAAGAGCCAAAATGATTGAGGAGACAACTTAATTCGTAGAATTATTTAACTTTTTGTAAAATTGTATTTGAAGATGACTTAAAAAAGAGCCAAAACATATAATGTATATTTACATAGTTTTAGTAAAATCAGTGTTTTAATAATTAAATTCTGTACACACAAAGTTCCACGTCACTTTTATATGTTTAATAATGAATATAATTCTAATGCGAATTCAAAGAAAAAATTTTTCACGATACCATACTTAAGCAAGCTTTCGGAAAAATTCAAAAAACTTTCATATATTCATGGATTTAATATAGCTTATAAACCTATGAATAAATTGAATATATTTATATTAAGACAGGAAAGGATCCCTTGCTTAAGGATGACCCTTGTGGAGTTGTTTACAAAATTAATTGTTTAAACTGCGAATCTTCTTATGTTGGCCAAACTAAGAGGAAATTAAAAATTTATAAAGGAACATAAGGCTGATATAAGAAAACCTACTTCCGAGATATCAGTGGTTTCACGTCATCGGTTGAATGAGATGCATGAATTAGAATTATTGGGATAACATAAGAATTTTAGACAGAACAATTATTAATGAAAAAAAGAATTTCAGAAATGATACATATAAAAGGCCAAATAAGTGATATCAATAAACAAAGTGACACGGAAGGTTTGTCTGAAGTTTATCTTCCTCTTCTAAAGAAAGATCTCTCTCGCACTTAATAAATAATTCTAGAACTTTCCAAACTGTTGACTCATATATATATAAATAGTGGTAAAATATACGATATGACTAATAATAACACACTATCACGACAAATTTCTATCTGTGCAAAGGCTGTACTTGAGATTTATCGTTATATTTTTTGCTGTAAAATAGGTAACGATTCTATTCCTTTATATTTCGATTAAAAGATATTAATGATATACAAATTTATTTTAAATTAGAATCTGGAAATTCTCGTACTACACTTTTCGTGATATGACTTTTGACGTTCTAACATTATTCTGTACTTGAGATTTATCGTTATATTTTTTGCTGTAAAATAGGTAACGATTCTATTCCTTTATATTTCGATTAAAAGATATTAATGATATACAAATTTATTTTAAATTAGAATCTGGAAATTCTCGTACTACACTTTTCGTGATATGACTTTTGACGTTCTAACATTATTATACGAAGCAGCTTCTCATAGAAATGAACACGTTTATATAATTATAACACACGACGGTTGAATTTTAATTTAATTTTGTCAACTTGTAATTCTGCGTCTTAAAAATATTATTAATTTACTGAAGATGGCCAGATTGTGGCTGAAACATTTAATGTTTTAATGTAATAATCATGTTTTGATGTAATAATAATTAAATATCACAAACTATAACTTTGCTGTGGTTTCTTATGCTCTTGTTTTTATACTTGTTTTATATGTTTGTTTTTTTATTTATTGTTTTCAATTTTAAGAGTTTTGTTCGTCTATACAAAATATACGCGAACACGACAATACTTATTACTAGGGATACATCGGATATCCGGAAAGTATCCAGTATCCGATATTATCCAGTATTTTTTTACTATCCGGATAGCCGAATATCATTAGTATCCGGGAATATATCCGGTTGAAATTGGATATCATTAAATTGTCGATTTTTTCTTATACAAATGTTCTAAAAATAAATATGCATATTCACGATGCCATAATATCTCATACATTGTTGCAAAATTACAATCTTTTTCCCTATATGCCCTATTTTCTTTTAAAAGACTTTCTTGGAATCCGGTCGGATATCCGGAAAATATCGAAGAAATTGCCTTCTTGGATATCCGATCAGATACTGAATATCCGATGTTACGTTCTGTCTGGATATCCGATATCCGGTAATTTTACGATCCAGTGCATCCCTATTTATTACTTGCTATTGAATTATATAAATAGAAAAAGCAATATAATAGAAAAAAAAACTAATTAAGAGACTTATCTCGTACATCTCTTATTTTACGAATTATTAGTAAAGTCAACGAATAGATACTTTAGATAAAAATAATTGACATCTGTTTGATGAAATTCGTAAAATGATATTTTGATCTAAATCAAAACTATTCTAATCGTAATGTGAATTATTTTTATTTCAGGCAAAAAGAAATTCCCTTCGGATCCCTCTTGCTGCCCTGTATGCGGAGTCACAGTGAGACCTCAAGAACTAGAACAACATTTTGCTCAAGAGCTCGATCGATTGTACAAGGTCTCTTCGGCATCTTCAAGACCTCGACCCTCGAGGTCGACCTTACCGCCAACGCATCCCCAAGATCATTCCCATGGCACGATGCTCCATGCCCCATCGACGGCGGATGGCACCCCTCAGGGTAGATGGGAGACATACAAAAGGATCAAGGCCAACAGACAAGTAATGCATTCTTTATTTCCTGTTTTAAACCTGATTTGTAATGTGCTCTTCGTTTCTTGCTTTTTATCTCTTGCTTTTTTCTTCGTTTTTTGTTATCTGAGAGAAAAGTTGATAAATTTCCGAAGAGACAAGAAACACATGACAAGAAATGATTGTCGATAAGACGCTCGCAAGAAAGGAAAAAGAGTAACAGATAAAAAATAAGAAACAGAAAGCAAACAGCACGTTGTAGATCAGGCTTTAATCTTTTATTAATCATGTGACGTCTTCTCAAATATAATTAATAATATAATTTCTCGAAGAAGCAAATTGAGAGATTCCGACAAGATATGAGAAACGTGGTAACTAATTATAATAAAGATGTACAAATTGCTATTTTTTATATACAGGCCAGAATACGCGTTAAGAATCGAAAGCGGAAAGCGGACGAGGCGTCTTGTCCGGTTTGCAGTGAGAGATTGTCGGGCACTCCGGAGGAATTAAATCAACACGTCGACCGATGCCTGAATAAGCAGAACAATGGAAATCCAGCCGGGCAGAACGCGAATGTCGACGAAGAAGAGGTTGACGTTGAGGGCGACCCCGAATACGAGGAGTACGAGTGGGCCGGGCAAACAAGAGTGCGTGCCACTTCCATGCTTGTTGGTGGGTTTTCTGGTAAGTCCATTTGCAGAGTTAAATGATACATATATTTATTATGATACATGCAGAATATTTCTATTAAATTTGCGGTCACGAAGCACACATAATGCATGATTTTATGCTTACCTAAAAACGCTGAATCGAATTAAATATTTTTTGCAAAAGCAAAAATAAAATAAATATACGTTAATTGTATAACAGGAAATTGTATAATCGCATTATTTGCCTTTTTCATAAAAAAGCATTCCGTAAAGATTAATATGGAGCGATATTAACAAGATTTAAATTTCTATAGAAAAAATATACCTTGTATTAATTGCCAATTTTTTTTAAATAATTTTTTCAACAAATTATTCTGGCATTACATGCGCCAAAAGTTTGCAACCTCAGTCTCGAATGCGTAGAGTGACACTTTAGAGATCGCTATTCCTTTACTTCGCAGCCGCAGGCCTCGCCACTTCCTCGAGCAATCGTAGTGCTAGGGGTGGAGGTAATCAGGAAGATGAAGACGTCGATCTGGTAGTTGATGGCGACGACGCCGCTGAGTTCGGTCCAGCTCAGTATTCCGAAGCGGACGTGGTCGCGCCGCGAGTCGATGGCACGCCGCGAGAACAGAAAGAACGGGATGCGCTTCGTGAAGCCGTTATTTCGCCGAACGCACCACACACGCCACAGCAGCTGACTCCTGATTCTGGATTGACGGCGCAGGGTCTGGTCGAGGTGAAGCCAGAGCCGGGCGCCGCAACACCCGTCGCCCAACAAAATGACCCCGACGAAGGTGCCTCCGGGTCGCCTAGGAGAGACGGCGATACGCCCGTCGTTGAGGCTCTTCGCGGCCGCATCCGCGAGCTCGAAGCTGAGATGCGCGGACAACCCTTTAAGTGTCTCATTTGCATGGTGAGTTAATTAATGTCAACAAATAATTATGAATAAAACGAAATTTCTAAATCGCGTCTCTGATTTAAGAAATAGGCATTTAGTTGTAAACTGAAAATTTGTGATTATAAAGGATTTAATATTCTTAACTCTTAAATGTCTTTTTGATATGACACACTGACTTTTTCTATGCTTTTTCCACTGCTTATAATTTTTTTATTAAAAATGCATATATTTTCTTAGCGTTATATTTTTTGATGTCTGACGTTTCACAAAAGTGAACGTATTTTTTTAAAATAATATTTAATGTTACGTTAATGCTAAGAAATATATAATCAATATGTGTCTATATTTTTAAGACAAGAAAACAAAATCAAACTAAATAATACTGCTTGGAATTGAAATTTTACTAAAATTTTGCAGAATAATTTATCGTTTGAATAATACGCTTCGCGAAATGAATGAAACGATCGTAATAATAAAAATTAGGTTTCGCTCTCTGAAAACGATTATTGAACGTAAAAACTGAACCGATTAACTTTCGAACGCTAATATAGCAAATGATTGTAATTGAGTCACTGTAATTAGTTCATCGTTATAGATAACTTGCTGGTTTTAATATTGTGAAAAATCAAATTGGACATGCAAAAATAAGCCGGAAAAACGGCGCGCTTTATCGTATTTTATATTATTACGTATTTTATATTATTCCTTGTAATATTGCATTATACGTATTATTTCATCACGTTTCATCCGTGATCTGAAAATGCGCATTTCGTAACTCGTAAATAATTGCGACAACATATAAAAGCCGTGCATAAAATTCGACTGCGTTTTTTTCCATCAGCGACAGCTTGAAATATTTAGATCATCAAATAAATTATTCTCTAATACGCCGCTCATATGCGAATTAACGAAGGAGCATTACATGTAATATTACCGCTCAGTGTTTCCATCGTCGATGCGGTATTACCTGTCCACCAACTTGCTGTAACAGGTTCGCGATCACGCGGAATAACTCGCCACGCGAGATAAGACGGCGATCTCGCTCGTAACGTGGTGGCAGTAAAACGCTAAAGGTATATCGACCTACGGTTGTTATCAACCAGGATAAACAGCGGGCATATTTGTCGATCCAGGAGGAATCATTTCGTGAAAAACCGCCGGGAGAGAAATGCCAATTCAGCTCATAATCTCGCGATCGTTAACTCTTTTTTGCGTTACCGGCTGCACCGCATCTCGTCTTTGTCGTTTGCGAGAAATTGGATTGAATATGGAATATCTTTTCTCTCTTCTCCACTGATTTGCATTAATCTAATGAGAAATTAAGATATTCCCTTTTCAATTTCGAGACGCGACTCATTTCGTAAACTTTTACAAAAACAATTATCGTCGTACATTTGCCAATTAACTAAATTAGCGATATAATAAACCCTTATACGCGGTTATATCTTTTATATTGGCACGCACATGAGAATTGGAGAGTATTGGTGCAAGTGGATTTGCCAATTAGTTTATTTATCGAATGTGTGAAAAATCTCCATTTCAGGAACAATACAAAAAGCCAGTCACTTCGGTTTGTTGCTGGCACGTACACTGCGAACAATGCTGGTTGCATACGCTGGTGAGTATTAATTGTTTATATGCTTTTGAACTTAGTTATTTTTTAGACGTTTTAAATAATTAAATTAAACTTTTTAAACTTTTTACTTATAACTCTAGACGTGCCACGCAACTTACAAAATAAAAATAGTTGTTGGAATTTCTGTAAACATTTCTATATACGTCAATATCCAAGTAATCACACGAAAAGAATTTTTTAAATTTACCTAAATATAGATCTGAAAATAATTTGGTTTGATATCAAAGTAATTATGTGGAATGCTCAAGCTGCTTGCTATTATGGAATATCAAAACTTTTTGCAGCATTGCTCGTCATGGTTGAATTTCCTACATAATTATTTTGATGGTCCAACAAAATTATTTTCAGATCTGTATCTACCTAAATTTTTAGATACTTCAGTAAAATCGTTCTTTCCATGCATAATTGCCAGATCGACCTCTGAATTTAATTTTCTTTCGTGAACTATACTACAGCATTAATTTAATCGTCGATAAATATATTTAATGAAATTTATGTTAAAGTGCTGGAATCCATTTTTATTCAAGTTTATTATCAATTTTCTATGTTCTGATTCTTCTCCAAGTTTATGGCGAATTCTGTCAAATGACGACTTTGGTTCCGACAATTGTTGAGAAACGAGGGTTTTCTTATCGCTGTTACAGGGCGCGAAGAAACTCTGTCCGCAATGCAACATGATAACGTCACCATCCGATCTGCGACGCATCTACATGTGAACAATCCGGCTCCCTGAGGATCTACGTTCTCCACTCCAGGGATTCGGGATCAGCCGGGCAGCGTTATCAACGAATGTTCCGCTTCTGTAAATACTTGTATATTTTTCTGCGTTACGTAAATTAACTCTCTAGGATTTTAACATGTACGTTTATGCATCTTAGAGCTAGTAAATTAACTTCGTTAGTTCTTAACGATCATCAACCGAGCGTCGCTTCAAGATCATCCGATGCAGTTTTGCGCATCTGCAACGATCACAATCGATATATTCACTTATACTTACGAACTCGCCGTCCCTTCCGAAAACCGTCAATTTTTCCGCGAATCTGCCGTACTGTTCTACCTTTTTATTTGTTATATATTGAAATTGTAATTATAAACTAGTTATTAACTAGTTAAAACTAAACTAGTTATTTCTAATTATACAAGTATTAATCCGTTCTCAATGATTTTTTCGGATTGACAATGAATTTTTTAATCTCATTTTTTTAATATTTAATTTGATGTGTTTGCAATTTTTAAAGTTGAAATATTTGCAAGATACACGAAAATAATTCTTATTATTTTTTATTATTATAAAATTAATATGTATTATAAATTAATATATTATATTAATATTAATTTAATTAATATTAATATAATATTAAAATAATTTTGTTAGATGATCAAAATTTTTAGGTAGAACACTCAAACTGATTGCCAGAATTACAAAAAAATTTTGACATTCTAGCAATCAGTTGAGTGTTCTATCTGAAAATTTTGATGTTCTAACAAAATTATTTTCAGATCTGTATCTAGCTAATTTTTTTGATACTTCAGCAAAATCATTCTTTCCGTGCAAACACCCTGGATTAAATGTATTACAGAGAATCGTCTATTGAACACGTGACAAAATTGCGAGATGCAGACGATACCAATCCGCGTCTACATCATTATCTTCGTTTCGAGGATTAAGAAATCTTAAGATTACGCGAAGGAAGATAACGCCGAAGAAAGCAGATTGGCTAATGTAACTTTGTTTCTTTCTGACACCAATTTGTACGGAATTCACGACGATGTAACAATTAAGTTTTTCTTTGAACAGTACGTGTTTTTTAATGATCGGCTTTCGACGCTCGTCGATCATATAATTACCAGAACTTTTAGATCATCGCCAAACCAATCTCTCGCGATGCACCAGCGAGCTAATAATGTAAATACACTAAACGGATCAAGAAGAGAAATAAGTCCCCCCCGATCGCTGTTCTGTAATCGAAATAAAACGATCATGGAATGTACAATTGTGTGTGCTGCGTTTCACGAGTTATTTTTTTCTCCCCAGCCACAAATCGACGATACAGATATTTTTGTAGAAAGAAGAAGATACGACAGGTACGTACAAAATATTACTATTGTTTCTAATATTTACTATTGATTGCTATTCGACATTCAGCATTCAAACAATTTAATACTTTCCATTTTTATTTCATTTAATATTTCCATACATTTAAAAAGGTCGAAAATATTAAGAGATTTTTTTTCCTGGGAATAATATTGTTTTCTACATTTTTTCCTCAGATACGAAATTGCAAGTATTAGTACTACAGAAAAATTATGGATACTTCAAAATAATTAGATAAATGTGATTTAAATAAGTTATAAGATTGCTAAAGATACAAAAAGTAATAACTTCACAAGTGTGTGAAGTTAATACAAAACTATATATTGTGCGAATTTACAATAAAATTTTCTTTTAAGACATTATAATATCAACCATTTTTTAAAGATTTGCTGCTCGTTTAACAGCGGTTTTCTCGCAAATTTTTCAAGAATCATAGTTGTGAATTACGATAAATTAAAAAATTACATAACACGAAACGAAATAATTTACTAAATTTAATTGTGTCACGAAGTCGCGTCCGCAAGAAAGAGGAAGGGAAAGAAAGAGAGAGCGAATGGCAGGTAAAAATACACTGCTGTGTGTGAGTTTTGTAAATGTCTAACGTTTAATTTCCGTTTCTTATCTCCGTGCTACGTACTCGCTTCGAAAGAGCTTTGATTAAAGCCGCAGCGGAAGGGGAATCAGCGGGATCACAAGGAGAGCAAAGAGGTCACCGTGGTGGCGGTCCTCGAGGAAAAAGGATCACGCAAAATGGCGCGCCGGGTTTACGAACCGTGTAATAGACGAGGACGGGGGCGGGTAACGGAAGTAGAGGTGGCGAAGACGGAAGTAGAGGAGGTGGTGGCGGTGAAAGTGGCGACGAAGGTGGAGCTCGACGTCGCGCTCCGTATGGATCCGCACGGGCGGATTTACAGAGAGGAAGGGGAAGAGACTGGCAAGAGCGGAATGGGGTCGCATGGCAAGATGGTGGCTCGGTATACGAACTCTTACGCAGCAAAAAGAGTGCCTATGGAGTCCTCACTTACTTCGTACGAGATGGTTACATATTAAATAAATGGCAGTGTTGTAATCGAAGGAGAAAGTGGACGAAGGAGTTACATTGTATTATTTACAGACTCGACTGTAGAACTCAATCAATGATCACGATGGACGTTACAGCTATTAGAAGTTCATCAAATCTTATCTCGTCAAAATATAAAAAATTTTGCTATCAATCTTTCAACAATATTAGATTAAAATTAGATTAAATTAGATTTAAAAAATTTCGTATAATAGAATGATATAATCTTCCAGCTGCTGTGACAAATTTTTTTTCAGAGTAACAATTCTTTTATTATCATGGGAGCCCTTTACTTTTAATTTATTGCACGAACAACAGCGATTGCATGTTTCGCAAGTTGAATCACGCGTGAATAATCTCTACAACATTATTTGTTACATACTAATAATCCTGCCAGATACATTGCGTTTTTATCGCTGTTCCAAAATATGATCTTAACGTTCTCCAACCTCATTCCAATTCTTTTTCCAATTTCAGTATTATTTCAAAATTAATCTAATCACATTCGTTTAATTTACTATTTCAATTTAACGACTACATTTTCTATTTAATTTTTACCAGCCATTCCCAGCTTATACCTCCATATAGCTATAAGCACGTTCTAAAGAAGGTAGACTGCAGAAACCCGGCTGGCTGGAGCGGATTCACCATCCCTGGTAAGAGGCAGTCGATGAAGGAAAATGTCAGGGCCGTTCCCCGAGGTGGAGGTGGACCATGGTGGTGGGAATGAAAAAAAAGACAGAGAGAGAGAGAGAGAGAGAGAGAGAGAGAGAAGCAGGAGGTTGTGGAAAAGGTCCGGGAAACCCAGCTGGGCGACATACCTCCCGCGAAAGGTGGGCTCGTAGGTGGAGGCGGTGAAAGCTCCGCCTCTATCTCCATCGTGCTTTCCATCGCGTTCGCGACGCATTTTCCTACTTACGCGCGAGTTCACGCACGAGAAGCTCGCCCCGAGCTCGTCTGTCCGTAGTCAATCCCGCGGAACACCGCGAAAGACGCCTCTCTCTCCCTCCCCTTTCCTGTCTCTTCCCGAATCATTGAACTCTATAACATCGTGCTGCATAGAAAATGGAAACGCTCGGCATTACCGTCGAACTGTCGGTGATACTTTGTTGCGGACGGAAGAGGGTAATATCATAGATATAGACCTATGGGAGAATGCGAGGATAAACGTAGGCGATCTTAATAACAACGGCTAAGAGACGCATGCATGATGCAGACATAGCTCCAAAAGATGTTTAGAAGATTGCACGTGGAATGGTGAAAGATCGAGATTTTAGATTTTTCAACGATATCCGTTATAGAGAATTATGTTCCTTGATACGCCTATGAATTTATAAATTTATTTGTATCTTTATATATATATTGTAATTGTAGCGAGTTTTTCATTTTTTTAAAAGATGCAAAAGTCGAGGTCAATATCAAGCAGAAATAAAATCTACAGGTTTATTTTAAGTCTTAATCTTAATCTTTTCTTAAATGATACTTTGATAGTCTTCTACCATCGCACCCCTCAATAATTAACATTTTATAGAGACTAATTCTTGAATGAAGAATTTAAGAGACAATAGAGAATTTCAAATCTTGTCGTTTTATTTTAAAGTTAAGTCTTTGAAATGATTCATATTCGCATAGCAGAATTTTGTCGACTGACAAACAAATCTCACACGACATTATTTGCCTGTAACGCTTTTTAATTTTAAAGGTATATAATATTTACACATTTTATTATAATTTTAAAAGTCTATCTCTTGATATAATCGCAATTTGATAGCAAAAATTCACAGTTACACAATTGGATTTTTTACGATAATTGGGCAATAATTGTACATTTGCTCGATGTGTCATCAGACTTTGAATGCAGCCAACTGATGCTACAAATATTTCGACGCATTTAATTGATCAGAAAAAAGAATTTTACTAATTAACCAATTAAAAGAATGCTTCAAAGCATCAAGTAAACCATAATTTTTACATTTTAAAAGCTTCGAATCATTGAAATGCTTCGAGTCTTTGAAATTAATGGCAAAAATTGGTTATAAAAATTGTAACTAACATTTACAAAAATAATCATCAATATGAAAAATTGATTTCTTAATATTTCAAAATATTTGAACGAGATTAACAGAAACAATTTAATCCTCGATAATGGACTCAGTTTTTTGCAATTTATGATCTGAAAAGTGGATGGCGCAATTTAAACCGATCGTCGAATTGTGATCACAATTGTAACGTAGACTAGTAGTTAGTAGTATAGTCTCAATAAGAGACTAGAGTTCTTCAAGTAAAAAATTGGACAACTTCTAATTAGTTTGTGGCGGACTGTAAATTTCAACGTTTACACAACTTCTGATTAGTCCACCACATTTTCACGATTTAAGATAGAACGAGATGCGTGGATATCTTAACCGAGGAACATATAGTACACTCTTGCATAACGCATAGGACATGAAAAGAACTCCGATCAGAGTTCTTTATTTCGTGGAAAGAAAAGAAATGAAGAATTTTAATTAGTTCATTTTCTTACGTTTTACGCACATGTGTTGTGCAAAAGTATGTGCTCCCAGTTTTATGCATAATCTATCTCCCATCCTATCTTAAGCAGATCCTGAAAAATATGATAGAGCAAACGTATGGTGTCCAATCTGTTTATACTTGAAGATCTCTAACGTGGTGAAAAACACACCAGCGAGAAACTCGAAGGCCACACGACCACACGTGGCAGCCGCTCGCGAGCATCTGGGACGATCCGCGATTTCGTCGGCCCCGGAGGAGGCTGTACGCCGTCGCGGCGGGGCGTGTTTCTCGCTCGACGAACCCCGCGAGCGGAAGGGATGACGGGTGCTCGCACACGGCGCAAGTCGGCCACACGTTCCCGACGCCTGCGAACTCGATTCGCATCGCGTGTTGCCGCCCCCTTTCACCAAAGGGGGGACAGGCCGCGTCTGAGAGGTCCTTCCGTTCCCACTCGGGTCCCTTGTCCTGCGACACCTTCGCGGGCGTCGCCGCGAAGGCTGAGTGAGAGAGATCCAGGTGCGCAATCCTCACAACGTCTTCCACGCGTCGTTCTTCCTCGTCGCTCTCATACCTTTCATCCCCTCCGATCCCCCTAACGTCTCTCTCCCTTCCAATCGCTCTGCTTTTTTTGAGCCGCTCTCTATCTCTCTCCCGAGAGAGTAAGAACACGCGCACACAAATTGAGAGCCAGAAATGTGCAGCGGACCGAATATTTTCACACACGAGTCGCGAAGGTTTGCCAAATTCGATTTCTGCTTGTGTAAGATTAATTGGAGGCGATAAAAGATAGATTGTGAGACGACAGCTGCCTGAGTTAACAGATATAGATGAGTAACAGATATATTATACATGAATAAAAAAATATACTAATTAATATTATATAGTTAATAATAAAAGAAGAGAGAGATCTAATGTTGAAGATTAAATTGTTTATGTTTTAATTTGTTTTCAATCTTTTCAAATCTTGAAAAATCAATATCTTTCATATTGATTATTTTTATAAATGATATTTATAATTTTTATAATAAAATTTTGCTATTAGTTTCAAAACTACGACAATAATTTAAAGAAAATTTTATGCCAGAATTATATAGGAAAGAAAAAAATGTGCATATTTAAAATTAAATGTTTTTATAAATGAAAGAATATGCAGATGTATTTAATGAACAATTATTAATGTATTATGACAAATTTTGAATCTTTATATATGTATATTCATGTAAAATATATGTTTAATAATAAAATGAATAGAAATAAATAAATATTGCAAAAAGATATAAATTATATCTAAATTATATCAAATTATATCTAAATTGCTAAATATTAGAAAAACTGTTTTTGCTCCACACTTACAGATAAATGAAAAAATTTCATGATTTGTATAATAATTTGTTAAATATGATTACGTCAAAATTTCGCATTTACTTCGAAAAGTATAATTGCATTATTTAATATCGTTTCTTATGCAACGATAATAGCAGTTTAATTATATTTTGATCAAGATTTGAGCAAACTTTATTAAGATTACACGACAGACTCGAGGGAACTTTTCAAAGATAGATAAGAAAGTGTATACAATTACTTACCGATACAAACAGCAGGTAAATGATAAATTAATGTTGTTACGAATACGACATAGCATTATTCAGCTACAGGTGTGACGCAAAACGAGACAACTAGTTATCTACGGTGCGTTTCCTGTTGTATGCAAATGCATTCAATAAAAATTGCCGTGAAACCTTCAGCAATTAATTTTCAAAATAATCGCTGACTATTGCATATCCGCTGTCATAGTACAAATGGAAAGGGCGCTTCTTTTATTTATTTTTTTGTAAACGTGCGATATAAATCACTCGCTGAAAACGTGACGATTAAATTGGCAATTATTCTTATCTGGTTACATTCATTTCATCTTGTTATCTTGACACGCAATCAATTCAATAAGTAACGAAGACAAAAGACAGAAAGTGCAAAGTAGCTTAAATGCGTGAGAAAGACTTGGAGTAATGCAATATTAATGAGAGGAACTGTACAATATAATAAAGAGCAGTCTGCTGATTTTATAAAACAATCCTTATAAAAAATTGAACTTGAAATTATATAAAATGTATTGTTTGTAGAATAAATATGTACCAAATATAAAATTAAAAAATTTTGACAACAATAACTTAAATAATAAATATTATCATACTTCTTCCAATTAATTTGTTATTAAAATTATTTTTTATTTGTATTAATTTTTAAAAATAATATTAAACTGAACTGACGTATATCACAAAGTTGAATTAATGTAATTAGCATTACGCTTTTTAATTTTTTTATATTAACTACTTCGCAATTAATGTAGTGAAACAGGATTGTCTTTTTTGAAATAAACTTTAAAAATTAATTTGTGTTACAAATTTTTGCTTCCTCTAAAATGTACTTTTTTTTTATCTATACTCCTCGAGCTATAATATATGATACCCTTTTTCTCAATGCTTTACTTATTAGAAAAATATTACATATCGCACACTTGTTATTTCGTAGAGAGAGTTGCAAAAGGATACGATGGTATAAACAAAAAGTCCATATAATAAATATATTATTTATTTAACTTCTATATTATTATAATAATAATCAGTTGCAGTATATTTAATCTATACTTACAAAGAAACGGTCCAAACTGTCCTTCATTGATTTTTATTTTGAAGAATTGCAGAACAGCAAAAAATAAGACATGTATCTTTTTATCTGTAGATGCTTTCTTATACATTTACAAGATTAAGATAATCAAACCCTATATATTTTAATTTTAATCAAATATCGATTAAAATTGTATAATATATGAAAAAAAAATCTTTTAGGAGAAAAATGTTACGATATTTTACGCTTTCGCAATTATGTATTTGTTGAAAAAAAAAATTTTTTGAGTATATTCCCTCTTCTCTCCCATTATTATAAATTAAGGTTGACTCGTGAACGGTTTTAACTTTTAAACACACACACACACACACACACACACACACACACACACACACACACATACATGCAAAAAGAACATATAAAAATATATGTGTCTTATTTTTAGCTGTTATATAATAAAACTCATTAAAATCGATGAGAGATCGTTCCATTGTTTCCTCAATAATGAATAATATATAACATAATCAAGATTTGACTTGGGTGCGACATGAAGCGTCTTTGCATATGTCTTTGTATATGGTACTGCATGTGTGTGATTCTGTCGAATAATATATCTCTGTATGTATTATATCGAATCAAAGGCACAATTGGTGTTTTTGAACAAACAGTAATTGACCTACATGTTCCTCCGTCATTTTAACTTCTAATTGCGATTCTACTCTGTTTCGAATTCAGCAAAAATCGTCAATTCTAAGATGTCAAAATTATCCCCAAGACTTTGAAAGAATGAACGAATGAATTATGTTGGCGAGAAGTCATATCGCAATTTTATCATCAGAGCGTCATAATTGTCTTGTGTGTACGATTGGTATTCTAGAAATCGAGATAACGTGCGTCGTTTCAACGTAGGCCGGATCGTTTTAGATGTATCTTTTAACAATAGTTAATGTTAAATTACAAATTTACGTTCGAGAATCTAAATTGGCACTTAATTCGTTTCTGTACTCGGCGAAGATGAATATGAACTCGAAGACCCATGCAATTTACAACGAAATGACGCATGACTCTATTTTATTGACCGTCGTTGCGGTTGCAGATGCGTTATGTCTGGATGCTGGTTCGGCTTAAACCTCGACCTTATAAGGTGAACCGGGGATGTGATCGTCGCCCCACTTGACGATCACGATGTACTCGCCTCGCTCGCGCACCAGATAACTCACGTTGTAATTGTTCCGACCTGTGTGCTTTACGAAGACTTCCTCACATGGTCCTTTGGGCCCGTACACGCCCACGTAGAGAATATTATTACCTGCAATTACGACACTGATTAGCAATTTCAAGTAATTACTCGAAAAGTTAATTAATTCTCATGCTAGTTGTACATTGCTTAAAATATCATCTGGATTTACTCATTAAAATATATAAACGATACACTCTCTAAAACTTTTAGACTAAATGTCATTCTAAAGAGTGAAATCTTACTTTTGAAGATTGAAAACTGAACCACTCTTTTCCAAGACTAGCTCAATTTTCATTCTTTAAAATATAAGATTTCACTCTAAAGAATTTAGAGTGAAATGTAATCAATAAGTTAACGAAGCTTAATTGTGAGAAATATATTTTTATATATTTTTATGAATCGATAACAAACAAGATTACATACCAGCGTCTCCCGCATGCACAGTGAATTGATTTTGTTTTCCTAAGTAAGCTTTCTTGAGGCCCATGCCTTTACTCGTCACCTTGCCCGCATCAGACTTAAACAATGGCAATATCGGTCCAGTTTGCTTGCTTTTCGATATCTTTTGCACGGTCTCTACAACGATCGAGCTTGTCTCTTGCGCGCCTCTCTCCGCCAAATCCGCGCCTGGAAGAGACAGTATTTATTTTTTCCAATGCCGCTCTTTCTATTAAGTTTTGTTGCATAATTTATAAATTATTCTAACATTTTAAAAATACAATAATTTATAAATTGTGTCCATAGGCTTGGAATGTTAGAATAAGTTATAAATTATGCATACGTTATTGCAAGTACATAAGAATACGCACCTGTGCAAGGAACCTTGTATGGTGAACCGACGATGTGATAGCCGTTGTACTTGATGCTGATATAATAATCGCCTGGTACCAAAGGCGTGTACCTGACCTTGTAACCCTCCTCGACTTCGGTACAGTCCATAGCGACCTTGCTGGGTCCATCCACAGTAACTCCCAGCGCTCCGCTGCCCGCATTGCAGGTGTCGATGATGAAATCGGTTTTCTGACCGGTCTTGATCTCCTTTAGACCGTTGCCATAGGCGTGCAACGCCGCTGGATCAGCGTCCACTTTACCAACTTTGACACGATAGGGACTACCCGATATATGCACTCCGTTGAACTTGAGGTGGATTTGATGGATGCCGTTCTCCGTCGGCATGAATCTTACCGAGTATGTGTCCGCATCAATACTCTGGATGAAGCAGTCGTCCTGGGTGCCGCTTGGTGATACAAGCTGGAAGGATAACGAATAATTAATGCGACTCAGAAGATCAACTTTTAACCCTTAACTATAGTTATAAAAATTACACCTAAGTTCTAAACTTTATTTAAAGTAATCTAAAGCGTTCTGTTTAAAGTACAAAATACGAGTAAATATCCGTCTTATAGTCACTAATGGAAAAAGGTTTAAGTTTTTCAAAAATTTATCTTCATATGAAATTTATTAAAATATATTAAAGTTTGTTTTTGAGAATCTTTAGTAAACTTTCTTACGAATAACGTACGAAAAAAATTAAATGATTAGCGAAGTCACAATGGCACAATTCTAGTATTGAATTGTGCGTTGTTTATAAATACAAAATCTTTTCTCGATATTTCATATTATAAATACAAAATCTTTTCTCATTTATTGCATACTTCAAAGCATTTAATTTCTTTCTATATAATCTAAAAATTTTATGATACTTCGTGTCCAAAGATTAAGTATTAGGTGTTGGAATTAATTCGTAGCGTTTTACAAGTGATGGGAAGTACTTTCATTAATGTATTTTTTAATGCTCATGTGAAATAAATAACATTCTTTCATTAAAAACGCTACGAATTAATTCCAACACCTAATATATTATATGACATCATATGACTCAGTGTTTTTCTAGTGAATCGTTGAGTCGCAAAAAGCCGAGTTGAAGAAAATGAAACACGACTTTCAAGCGAGCGACCACCAAGAGGTACTCTTACGAGGATGACGGAAACACTATCACTTTGTGTCGAAATCCTCCATGTGACTCATTCAGCTATGTGCATATGGCGACCAGTAAAAATACGTTCGCGATCCCACCTACGCGGTCTGATGTAGTGACGACTATTTCACAAGCGCACGAGTTATTTACGGCGTTTCTCCTCTCTTTCGCAAGGATGTGTATCGCGGTGAGTTAAACTCGCGAATGTCACAGCCCCTCGAAGGACTGTCCTCGTTACCAGCGAGGAAAGGGATTTTACCTTCCCGTCCAGTTCACCCTTGGCGCCGTTCTTGCGCACCAGGAAGGTGCATGGCTTGTCGGGCTGCACTCCACTTTCGGGAAACTGCGCGACCTCGAGTTTGTGTGCGTCGCCCATCGCTGGTGAAATGTAAACCTTGTGCGGCGAGTCAGGGATGTGCTGATCGTTGAACTTGATTCCCACCCTATATTCGCCTGAAAAGAAGCAATGCACATTTTAATAAATTAGTAGATTAATATAAAATTGCTAGTATGAGACTTTTTAAACAGTAAGCACATAGTCCCCAACGTTTTTCAAGAAAGTATAACGCATAATTCTGATTTATATTTTTTGTTTGTTTATTTAATGCTCAATTAATATAAATTTTAATCTTAATTAACTTTTCATTTTTTTTTCTAGTTCTAAGAATTAAAAAATGATGAAGAGCAAGTTGAACCGAGATTAAAGTTAATCTTCATCACTGGTAGAAACGGGCATTATTTAAATAAAAATTAACTTTTAAAGGAATAATAGTTTTTGTTTTGGAATATTTTATATAATATAATATAGTAAAGAAAAAATAATTAAAATATATAGAGACTGTTACTTATAGTAGACTGTTACTTCAATAATTATTAATACGTGGAAATTGAGGATATCTACAAAGTAGTCATGTTCATTATTTCCAAATAAAACGCGGTGGCTAAATAAATCACGGAACGTTCAAAGCGAACTGTGTTTTATATCCATCAAATCAGGAAAAGTTCAGGGAAATATCCGCCCAAGAATCGAACTAACCATCGCCTTGCTGAGACTCCTGCGACTCGTTTCCGGTCAGGACGATCTGCGTGGTGGCTGTGAAGGTAGCCATCGACCCCGGACTACGTCACGGATTTCGAAAATGAAAGTCCAACGTGAAGGAAACACGTGGAGGTTCTTGGCGGGTGAAACAAACGAAGAGGAAATCAGGAGTAGTTGGAAGGATTCGATCGAGAAGGGAGAATGGAAAGCGCAAGAGAAAAAAGAAAAGGAACGAAGAGGAAGTAAAAGAGTGGAAAAGAAAAAAAAAGAGACGAACGATCGCAGCTGTAACCGAAGGTTGGTCGCGTACCACTACTTTTCCTCAGGTCGATCGTGATCTCGATTCGTCGGCGAGCTTTCTCCCCCCTCGTTCCCCACACCCCCGTGTTTCTGTTTTGCTCGCGCCCCCGTACCCCCGTCGGTCTCCCCACCGCGTCAAAATCTGCTCCCACGGGGTCCAAATATAACCATCGCGTGTTAATCCGCGTCCAGCCACGTAGTGGCCAACTGCGGGGCCAAAATATGGATTCACCTTAACAAATATAGACGGTGATATTTCGGGAATCGAGAAAGAGAGAGAAGGGGAGAGGGTGGGAGGGGAAGGGAGGGAGAGGGAGAGAGAGAGAGAGAGAGAGAGATGGACAATCAACAGAACAGAAGAGAGGGGTAGAGAGACATTATGGACGATGATGGATCAACGAGCAGTCGAGTCAGATTCATTAACACTTTGGATGACCAACGTTGATCTACGTTCGTAGTTATGGTGCACATGTAAACCCGACCGCGTGTGAATACATGGTATTTCAATATTAACAGAAAATTTACAATAATAACTATACTTAGATGAATTAAAATTTGTTAAAAATTTGTAAAAATCAGTGACTACAATGCAGATATTTAAGACTAAAGACGGAAGCTACATTGTCTACTTTATCAAATCATTTATGGCCTTGGTATAAAATAAATACTTTGACAAAATGTTTTATATATCAAATTATTTAAAAATATTTAAAAAATATTATTAATTGTTTAAGATTAAAAATACTATGCAATCATGAAACAATCGTAGAATAATTGTCAGAAAAAAGATAGCTAAAAAAAGATATCGAATCCCAAAAAAGTTTGGAAATCGGTAGCATTATATTTTTTTTAGTTATAGAATTTTCGTAAGTAGAGTAATATTTCGTTTTATATTTTAGGAAATCTTTAAGTATAATTTAATTACCGCGTGATTAAATTTACATGATTAAATCCAACACCAGTCATGAGTGGTTTAGTTCGTGTGGATATCGTCGGCGATCCATAAAATTCGTGTGGATAATTTTGGAACGCTCGTGAGTCATTCGGCTGACAGTACGCAATCGATTAGGTGCGACGAATAATCTATCAAAGTGCAAAGTATACATAAATGTCGTTTAAAAGAATTTATTTAATGAATAAATTTATAAATACTTAGTAATCGATATTACCATCTTTTCAAGGCGCAAATTGTCTTCTAGACTCATACTATTAGTTAGGAATAGATTGGCAAAAGTCCATCTTTATCACTATATTGTAACATTTTATGAATACTTCAAATGATGGATTGGTAATTCGTAAATGTTACAGTTACGAATTAAGTTGAAAACGTATAACTCGCGCGTGCAACGACTTTAAACACAAATATTGCTTCACTTTTCATAGAATTTTGCAATGACCATTAGCGGATCTACGGAGGAGAGGCACAAGGACCATGGCCTTCTTTAGATCCAGAAGTATTTTTTAATTTAAGAAACTTCTAAATATAGAAATCATAGATCCTATTATATTATTCTTTTTTTGTATTAATGTAATTCTAAATGAAATGTTTTATTAATTATACATTTAAATAATATTTTTTTCAATGTAATAATTTGAGGCATTGAATGGCCTGCTCGGTGCGAATGACTCGCGATCTGTAAATTTGGGTTCAATCCCACATGCGCGATTTTTCACCGCGATTTTTAAGGAGCCGAAAATGGCCCCACTTGATGATTAAGACACCTTTGATCACCAATGCCGTTCGAATTCAGTGTTAAACTGCATCCCATATATCAAATATAGCTCCCATATTGAACTTTTTATATTTGACCTTAAAAAATTTTCGCTTGCAGCGAATCAATGATCACTTCCTCGACAAATTTCTGAATCCGCCAATGACGATGACCACCGCGTATAAACAAAAGGATAACACACTCATAACTTACCGGGTTCACTAACGACGTAGCTAACATAACAACTGCCGTCCTTGCGATCCTTGAAATCTATTTGTGCCTTGCTAGGCCCCTCGACGGAGACGGCAAGAGTACCCGCGCCCGCTTCCCTGGTCCAGATGTTGAATTCGCATGGCTCGCCTTGCTCTCCCCTTTCTAGACCGGGTCCACCCGCGTGAACTCTGTGCGCACCACCGTCCCTAAGCGGACCTACAGTGAACTGGAAAGGCGAGCCAGGGATGTGCATGGACTTGTAACGCACGGATACCGTGTGCACGCCCAACTCCTTAGGCACGAATGCTACCGCGTAGATGCCATCCTCGGCCTCCTTGATTTCGGCATCTTCAGTGACACCGCCAGGTGACGTGACAGTGGCGGCGAGATCAAAGGACGTGATACCAGGCATCTTGAAGGTCAATTTACATTGATTGCCGACCTCGGTAATTGGCACAGCCTCTCGCTGTCTTTGAATCTTCTCTCTCTGTCGGTTGCTACCCTCTCCGCTAACTTTGACGGTGAATGGCGAGCCCTCGACGTGGTGGTCCGCAAACTTCAAATTCATGATGTAATAACCGGGCTCGGTGGGCTTGTAAGAGATGTTAAGAGTGCCGTCCTCGTTGTCCTTGCATTGGATCTCGGCTTTGCTCGGGCCTTCCATCGAAAGGGAGAGACCACCAAAACCAGCATTCCTCGTATCAATTGAAAATTTGTTCTCCACATGGGTCTTACCCTCCTTCAGACCGGGACCGGAAACTTTAACTTTCTTTGCGTCACCGACCTCGCGATCTTTCACGTCGATCTTGAAGGGGGAATTCGGTATGTGCTTGCCCATTCTCTTCACGCTCACGGTATGCTCGCCTGCTTCACGCGGCGTAAACGACACACACATGTTACCGCTTCCCGGCATCTTCTTTAGGAAACACGGCTCCTCCAGACCACTGGGTGCCGTGATGGACGCATTTAGAGATTTGATATCAGCGTCAGACACCTTACCCGGCAGCTGCACTTCGCTAGAAGAACCTACAGAGATCTGATTCCTCTTACGGCCCTCGCCTAAAAACGACAAATTTTTAATTGTTTTAATTTGTTTTAATTATAAAATCATTATAAAAAAATGAAAATCAAAATTTTAGAAACAAAGAGTTATAGGGATACATAATATATTAACATATAATATATTATTAGGTGTTGGAATTAATTCGTAGCGTTTTACAAGTGATGGGAAGTACTTTCATTAATGTATTTTTTAATGCTCATGTGAAATAAATAACATTCTTTCATTAAAAAACGCTACGAATTAATTCCAACACCTAATAACAAAAAAATTTAAAATATTATTAGAATAGTAATAATAAATTCTTATTTAATAGTCCTTCAGTTTTATAAGAAATAAAAATTAGAACCCTTGTGTGTACGAGACGAGATTCAAGACCGAGATCACTTGTAACATTCGAGACCGAGATCTATAATAGCATAACGAGATCGAGATTGTTTAAAATTCTCGTCGAGATCTCATCAATTTTTACAAATGTTTAAAGCTATCTCATCATTTCGTTTTATTCACATTGACTTTATTTACAAAAATAAATTCATTTATGATATCACGATTTAATATGGTCACTATCATGGTGACTATCTCAGAATCATTGATATAAATTATTAAAATCTTATTCTTCAAATTATTTTAGGAGTAAGATAGAAATACCAGTTATGTAATATACAATACTTTTGTGTAAAAAAAATTTTAATAAATACATTCATTTATACTCACAAATAAAACTATTTCTTTTGCATTTGTTAAACTATTTTTTGCTAATCGCGTTGAGATCTCGTCAAGATGCTTGTTCCAAGATTTTTCGAGCTCGAAATTGCAGAAATCTCGTCTCATCTCATCTCGTGCCAATCTCTAATCCACTTACCCGTGATTTTGGCGACAAAAGGACTGCCTCTGATATGCTTATCGCCAAACTTAACAGTAATTTTGTATTCTCCGGGTGCGGTAGGTAGATAAGATACCGATACCGTGCCATCCTTGTTGTCGTGACAGCTTATTTCGGCTTTACTAGGCCCTTCGACAGCTAACGAAAGACCACCTGCACCGGCACCTTTCGTCGAGATGGTGAAGTTTCCAGGTTCACCGCAAACGCCGTAAACCAAACCTGGTCCATACGCTGTTACATATCCACTCGCCAAAGAATCGACATGGAATTTGTAGGGAGAACCTAGCAATAAAATCATATATTAATATAAAACACATAGACGGACATTTGTTTTATATAAATAATTTTTTATATAAATTATTTATTATCTCTCTGCTTTTACTTTCTTTTTTAACAAAACTATATAAATTACCTGAAAAATGTTATATTTATATAATTACTCGTGAAATTATAATTTTGATCTAAATATCGATTTAATGAGATATTACAATAAATAATATATAAAAAATGTTTTTTTATTTGAGAGAAGGTAATTATCTACATTATGTTTAATGATGGTCGCGCGTGAAGTGAATTAATTTGTCAGACGGGGAGATTTATTATTAGCGTAAATTGGCGCTCGTGAGATCCATTACACGGAGAATGAAATTTCATATAGCTTCTGTGTTTCAGGATCGTATGGATCGCACACGCATCGTACATTAGCGCGTTATTCTTGGAATGCTCTGTGAACCTCCTGTGATCGATCGCACTTCATGATTGCGTAATCGCCGTTAATTTGCGAAATGAATGGATTAACTTACCCTGGACGTGTTCACCGTTAAATTTCACATAAATCTCATGAAGGCCCTCTTCCCTCGGCTCGTACTTGATAGATACCGTACCATCATGATTGTCCTCGATAACTGGCTTGTCCACGTTTCCGCTAGGCATCTTCACTTCAGCTGAAAACGAGTAAAGTGGCGTTCATCAGGCACATCTCAAGGACATCCGCGCGACATAGTTTCCTCGAGCGCGCCACGATTGGTTGGCACTGATGTACAAAATTGCTTTCGCACCCAAATAAGATTTCATATCAAAAATAACTACTTAATGTTTGTGTTTGTCATCTCTCGGTTTCATATTCAAAGATATACAGTAATTCGCACATAAATAATATTCCTCGAAAATAGAAAGATATATTTATTATCCTAACAGGTTTTAATAATTAAGTTAAACTTTGGTAATCGCATTTTAAAATGTATAGAAACGATTATTAATTTGAGTATATATCTTAAAAATTTGCAAAATTTTTGAAAAAAAAGAAAAGAAGGAAATGATAAGCCGATATTTTTTTCGATCAAAGATGCATATCAGAAAAAGTTGTGTTACACACGAAACTCACACATACTGTGATTATTAAGTATTTAATTTTTAAGTATTCACAAATTTGTGGTGGATAATGTAAAATAATTTTTCGGTTTACTGATAATACAATACGATTCCGAAATACGATGAATTACAAGTCATTTTAGATATTATGTGCTGAATTAGTCGAAGACAAATTGAGAGAGCTTTTGAAGACAAAACCTTTTTTCGTGTCGACGTAGAAAATGCTCTGGAAGATGAGCGGGGCGAAATCAAGCCCAGGTCCCGGAACTTCCTTCTTTTCTTGAACGCTCTTAGCGTAGCAGATCGGTCCGCGCGCAGGGCAGTTGAATTCGCTGAAGAATACGCTCTTCAACCAAGCTTTATAGAAGGTCGATACCTCCTGCCACGTGGCTGGTATTTCCGGTTCTCTATCTCCCCAAAACATATCTCCAACGAGTACACTTCAGAATCACGAGAATTTCCGTTGAAGCACTTGATGAACTATCGTTATTCTGATCGTGCGATTGCACGATCTTTTTATTCTAAATCGTCGCAAAAATTAATCGCGTTTTTTTTTAAACGAGAGAAAAATTATGTTGAGAAAATTTATCTATATTGTCAGAAGAGTAACAACGTATTTTATTTCTATGATTATATATATATATATATATATATATATAACGAGATACTGCAAACAATTTTCTTTTATATTTAATTTTCTCTGCGTAAAATAAAGATAGGATCTGTCTACAAGTCTAAAATAAAAAAAAATAATAAAACCATTTTTATTAAAATAAATTCCGATAAAAAATTGATTTGTATACTGCAATCCAAGTGCACAATCAGTGTCTTCATATATGTGTGTAATTTTTTCTGTATAAAAATAACACTATGTATATTATATCTTTATAAGTGTAAATCCATTTTTGTGTATGTGCACAATATGTTATTTTTATACGGAAAATTAAATCACACACACATATGAAGGCATTTATCATACACTTGGATTTGTAGTAGATATGCAAATCAATTTCGCTTAGAATAGCTTATTTTAATTAAAAATCAATTTTATCTTTTTTTATTTTGTAGACAGACTTTATTTTATTTTACACAGAAAAAATCAAATGTAAAAAAAATCTTACAGCACTTCCAAATATCGGTTGAGATGATTAAGTGAAAGGATCCAGTTACGAGCGCGCCGTCATGTGCGATAAACACCTCTTGGATGAGATCCCCTGAATAGACCGGCGTTGATAAATCTTCTCCGGTACCGAAACGACTGCACTAAAAAAAAAAATCAAGAATTCCCGAGGGGTTCCGCGGGGTAACCGACTTAAGGAGACCGACCGACTGACCGACCCACCGACCGACTAACCAAACGGATGTCTTCCGGCGTTCTCCAGCGATCTCGTTCGCGAGGTCTCCAGCCTGATGGCGCCTATCAGTCGACTTCACGAGGGCGCATCTCCGGCACGACTGACGGTCGCACGAGCGACCAAAGTCGGTCGGCGGCGAGGACGATGAGAGCTGGCCTGGGTGATCTTTTTTTCCAGCGTTAGCTACCAGAGGCCAGTTTCGTATCGTCTACTACAATTGCCAGTCTACCTTGTCCATCAAACATCATCGTCTTTCCCTCTTTCCCCCTCTCCCTGTTCAATCCTGATTTCTCTCTCTCTCTCTCTCTCTCTCTCCTCTTCTCTCCCTCTCTTTCATTTCGTCTTTCTTTACAAGCGACCTGTCTCTCTCTATTGGCTGTGCCACATGAGGATCACACGTACGCAGGAATATGACCAACGCATATATCTGTACACGCATACACGATCAGGGTGAACCTATGGAGGTTTACGCACGCGCTAATCCGAGGATTCCGCGGCTGGTGGGAGGAAGCGGATGGTCGACGTCGCGGCGCCTGCACCTGGTGCGCGAAAATTTATGACACAGGTATATCGGTGTATGAAAGTATATTTTATATACGTACATTACACGCGTTCGTTGTGTGCATGTACGTGTGCGCGCACGCGTGTGTATGTGTAGTAACCGCGGTTCGTCGAGTTGAGGATGGATCGGTTGCATAGCTGGTTACGTGACGGGATCAACGCTGGACGGGTCCGCTCGATCGGAGTAAATTGGGAACACGACGACGCGACCATCATTAGGCGTGCATGCGATGACGTTATTGCCAGGCGCTCGGGATATTGCTTTTGATTGCTAAAGAAGAGGGCTCGAGGTCGTCTTTGGAACGTGATACTTCTCGTGACGAGGTCCAATTAAACAAATTATTATTATAAATTGAAAAGAAACATTGTTATTCTTATTCTTACAATTAGAAATACTATCTCTGTTTTCTTCACATCAAAAATTTTTTGTGGAAACTTGATAAGTACATCTTCCAATGCTATATAAGAATGAGAAAGTTCTTTTATTTAAAAAATTAATATGTATATAGTTACACTTTGTATTTCCCTCTAATTTTTTTGTTTAATTTTAATCTTTCGTAGCCACACTGGATCTTTTTTTGCTCAAATGAAATTTTACTATGAAATTTCTTGACACAAGTTTTAATTTTTCTTAAATAAAAGTTTTAACATTTAAATAACTATTTGGCAACATAGTTGAAAAGTAATTCTGATTTTTTTCTAGATTTTCTGAAAACTTAGGAAACAATAGGTAAAAAAATTTGAGCTGATCGAAAAAGATCCAGGCTACAAAGTAAATAAAAATATGTGTACTTAAGGGTTAATTTATTGTATATTTAAAGAATTACGTTTGAGATACGTAGAAAAGAATAAATATACATTACACATTAATAATATAATAAATGATATAGTGATTTGGTTTCGAATTTAAGCGAACTCGGAACATAAAAGTCGCAGAGAAATATTTTTTTGAAATATTTTTTAAATATCTTGCATCTCCGATTCTTTTCCATTTCTTCCTTTTCATTCCTTCTTTACAGGAGGTTACGTAAATTATCACGTGGAAGGAATCCCGGAATTCTCAAGATAGACAAGACAGAAATTTTGACGCGTAATATCCTGTCTACGCTTCCGTGATTATCGTTTCATTTACCAAAAGGAAGTCGTCAAGCAAGCGAACCGATTCGCACGAATCTCTCATTTAACACGCCCCACAGCCGTTATGATGAAGAGGAACGGGTGTCGGCTGGACCTGAGTAATTACGGACAAGCGTGATGCGCTTACTCGCACCGTGCAATATTATTCGTGTATGTATTGGTGCGCGTCAAAAGTTCTCGAAGGTATTAGCCAGAAAATCAACGACCTGATTCAAAGTGATCTTTCATCCTAATCCAACTTCCGTCCCTAGTTTCTGTATTCCTAGACGTGATATAAACATCATGAAATAAAACTATTATTATTTTGCGAATTGAAGACAGAAACACATTTACGTACAAGATTGCAGCGGGATTCCAGCAACAAGATAATGATCTCTTGGCAAGATGTAAACCACCGTCCGGAATCAAATCGCGCGGGTTCGTCGACCGGAAAATCGCTCCAGTTGATCTTCGCATACCGAGAGAAATCCGGACTAGGGGATGAAGAAGCAAATTAGTGGACGTGGAAGGGATCGATCTTTTTCTGGACCTGCCATCGTCCTCGGTCGCTCGGAATCTCGAGGCTCGGCTTTGGACCAGCCACGAGTACGTGCATCCGGAGCCACTTAATCACCCAATATTAATATCGCGGACAGTGCGTCGCGCTTATCCGACATACATACCATCCTTCCACGCGCCGGGCTGTCCAGCCATATTTTTGGCAAGGTGGTGGATAAAGCGCGAATACGAATCCGTCGTGTCTGTCATTTGAATACGCGTTGGTCAATCGTGAAGCATTACATATAATTGAATCACATTACTCGTCATCGTTGATCTATTTATTAAGCTCCACGTCCATGAAGAGAGGACTGTTTCACTTATAACGTTGCTCAGTAACAGGGGCTTACCGTTGATCTCTCAATTCCCTTGACGCTCAGCTTATTTAGCCAAGAAACATTTATTTCATTAAATACTATTAGCTTTTAGGAAAAATGAGAGCTGATTGTCAAAAAGCTTATGACTTACTCAGTATATAACAGGGCATTCTCTTTTTTTATTACAGATTGCTAATATAATATTATAAATTGTTGTGTAAAATGATTTATGTCAAAAGCATTGTATATATTATGACTTTTAAGCAAATTAAATTGATAAGTAAATTTTTTCTTTTAATTCATTAGTGATTAAATTTGAAGTCTAATTAATAATTAATTAATCTTATTGTTTCATTTATTTAGCAGCAATAATTATCTTATTATCTATTATGGTAAAGTTTCTTAATTCAATTTCAAAATATTATATGAAACTGCATCGTTGATCATTAATCAATTAAACATTCATCAAGTCATCAAATACATGTGGATACGAGTAGTCAAATGCGGCATCAGTGCGCACGCGTGATTAATGATGATATTTTTCGTCATGTTAAGTAAACATTTAAGAATGACATATGTATTCATTGTTGCAGAAAAGAAAGAGGAAGTTGTATTCAAACAAAAATTTAAGAGCACATAAAACGTGCCAAATCCGTCTTACGTGAAACGGAAGAATCCGTATCGTAAAATCTCAGCAGAGCAGCACACATTGCGCAGTAAAATCCAAGATTTATTTCCGCGTAGCAAATAGATTCCAGTCGACGTGCGCTCGACTATTGCTAGTTAAACTAATAATAGAAAATAGACTAAATAAACTAACTGCTGCGAAAATATTATGTCGATATTCTTTACAGTTCGATCAATATTCGAGACTATTTCTAAAAGATAATGAATAACAAATTTGTTTTACTATATGCAGTCATACATTTAAAAAGGTATATTTAAAATAAGTGATAATTTCAAAAGCGCATTTTTAAAAGATTAATAACAATTTTTTTAAAATATCCATTTTTGAAAGATTAATAAAAACATTTGTTATAATAAGATCCTTATTGTATAATTATTAATTAAAAATTAAAAACAGAAAAGTTAATCCAAAAAAAAAAACGCGATCTATGCCAGTAAATAAGAGAATACTGCGTCATTCGAAGTGCGAGGAAGTAGTATGAGCTAATAATAAGTCAGACAATCCTACAAATTCTGTCCGCCATCGATAGCAGTTAACGAGATTTAATTAATTAAAAGTTTTATTATTATTATCTCTTAGTAGTGTTTTTAATAGTATTGTTGGTAATGGTTATAAATATTATAGTATTCATAATCTTCATGTGCAGTAGTATGAGACAACATTAAGTCATGCTCACAGCTATGCTCACTTGCTATGCATTGAAATTAAAATTATAAAATCTCTGCTTTTTCATAAATAAAAAGCACTTTGTATCTTCCTATAGAAAAGCATTAAATTATTGATAAATGCTGTCGTAATTTTTATATTTTATTTATAATTTGCATTTTTATATTTAATATTTTAATTTTTAATTTTTATATGTGTCCAACCAATCGAAGGATGCACTCATAACTTATATCATTATGTAGCAATAACTACGAAAAAGACTGAGTAAATTTTGAAAAAAATAGTAAAGCAAGGTTAGAATGGATGAAAATTAAAAAAATTTTTTCTAGAAATATGGAATATATCACTTACAAGTAACTGTGCCTCCGCTCGGGAGAGGTAGTGGGATGGAGTTCAATCGGATAACGTTGAAATTCTTTTTTGATAGCTCCTGCTGGCTGCTACGTTTTGTAGTGACAGTAGAGCTTTCCTGTAGGGTTGTGCTACGCTGCTCGACAACGTGTTGATTTTGTTTCTGCCGTGTTTTACGAGCTCGTTGAGTTTTGTGCGTGCTATGTTCCCGATACTCCTCGGATGCCTGGAATGTCGTTGAAATTGAAAAACTAGTTAACGACATTGATATCTACAATATCTTTTCGCCAATCGTAGTCACTTTAGACTACAAATAATTATAAATTTTTGATGGAACAATTTACTATAGAATAATTTACATTAAATGTTATTTAAGTACGTGAATGAACTGCATTTCAAGTAAAGTACATTAGATAGAATTTTTTTTTTTTATAAAAATGCAGACTCAAAATTATTAATAAAAAAGTGAGTGGATTACGACGTGAAGATGTGTTTCTGGCGACAATGGATCGCGATATCGCACGATCGATATTTTGGTGCTGGAGAAATGCCAAGTATTAGAAGCTTTTGTTTTTTTTACAGAGTGCTAATAAAATTCTTGCGAAATCTTTGTAGGAAAAAGGAGTGCAGGAATTTTCGAAATCGGAGGAGATGGTGTATGTTACATCTCATTACGATAGAATCTACGTATTTCGATGCTGGTCACAAGCCAAAGTGCGATGCGTGTAAAGAATTTATTATGTAACCACATTCTAATTATTGCAAAATTCGTATCATCACAGGAAGCCCTCATCTATAATGAATTCGCATTAAAGCAATCGCGATTCCGTTGCAGTTAGTTCTCTGCTGTAAATCACAAGTTACATTTAAGTTCAGTGGATTATGTTGTTGCAATAACATTTAAATGGATTTAATTATAAAATAAAGCAATGTTTAAATACATCAATATAGCTTTAATGAATAGAAAACAGTTCTGGAAATTATATATTTTCTCATGGCCTGCAAACGTATGCTGTCAAAAAACAATATTATATTAGGTAATGAGTTTAAAACTGTATCAATTATTTAATTTATCAAATTAGAAAAGAGAAAATTTGAGAGAAAAAATTATTCTTGAAGGTACGTAATAATAATGTAACATTGTTTATAATATCAAAACTGTTTAATATCTCGTATATTATATATATTAATTGTAAATTTTATTATATATTACTTTACAAATTTTATTCTTTTCAGTTATAAATATGTATGCAAGAACCTGTTCAAAACAATCGAATTCCGTAAACTGCCGCTGTCAATTAAGAGGTACGAAATATTATATATACGAAGCCTGTTGATCATTGAGACGCAATATTGCAGCTGAAACCAAAATTAGCTTTCGGGGAGATACTGAACGTGATACATAAATAGTCGCTTTCATGGTGCAAAATGCGACACGATGATATAAAAATAATATTATTATAAAATATTCTTAAATAATGAAATAGAAGAAATAGAGAAATTGAATAATCTATTTTTGAAATTTGTTTAAAAATATAATTTATACATGATTCTATATAAATTATATATATATATATATATATATATAAAAATAGGAGATTACAATTTCATATAATAAGATAGTATTATAATAAAGATTCTAGTATTCTAGTATATATCAAAAACTATTTAATCATCTTGGATTAGATATTATATACCGACATATAACGTTCCGCTATTTCCCTCTTTTGATTTTTTTTAAATTCTACAAAAGTAGATATGTTAAAGCATTTTTTAAATTTATTCAATATTGTAAATTAACGATAAGCAACCCTTTTTTAAAAGATTATTTTCAAAGAGCATTTTTTTCAGAAATAAGTAAAATATTTTTACGGGCCACATAACGTTTATTATATTTGCATAAAATAAAAAATGATTTTGTATTTTCGGCTATGAGTCGGTGGGCCACAAGAAATTCTACACAAGTAAGCCATATGCGATCCGCGGGCCGCAGGTTGCGCATCACTGCTGTATATTACTATTATTAATCTGGATAAATTGCAAAAAAATTAAAGTAATTTATAAAAAATGAGACGTTATTATTCGGTTAACTATTTCGCTCAAATCAATGTCATTTCTTATTCAATTGATAGTTTGTCGCGATAACTCGTATCACTCACTCAGTCCGCAAACGATTGCGATCGACACAAAACCAGCGCCATACTCTAAGCCTTCCGGAGGACCGCGGGCTTTTCCTCTCCCTTTATAAGGAATTGCTTGATTGATTGGTTGCGAATTCGCGTACCTAACTACTAACTATCAGACATCGGCTTCACCGATTTACGAGGAAACGCCCAGCTGCGTCGGTGGCCGACACGAAACTCGCGCCTCTCTGCTATCCAAGTAGTAATTCCGGGCACAATGCTGAATTTCATGTACTATAATAGATGCCCAGCCCCCACTCGTACACATTACAAAAGAATTAAAGAGTACAAAGCACAATGTGGGTGCCATTGCGCTGTCTATAAATCTATAAATCAATTCGTGGATCATTGAAGACATTATTATAGGAAATTGATTTTTCAATAATCTATATGATATATTTCTAGATTTCTCCAAAATGAAAAATTTACGACTGAATGCCAAATAGAGTAATAAATAGTATAATTGAATCATACAATTCCATATAATCGAAATATATAGCAAATAAAATGTCAACTTTAAATATACTTAATTAAATGTTTACTATTAAATAATAATATATAAAATCATCAAAATTGATAACACAGTCTGCAATATTTTACATACATCATAATAAGTTGCGAAATATCAGATCCGTTATCGTAATATGTATCCAGAACAACAGTAAATTTGGATAAATCCCAAATATAATGTCATGTTTTTGTTTACAACTAGTTCAGCTATATTAAACTGACATAAAAGTCAGAGATTCATGGTTTTCTTAATGCCCTATAAAGCGTCTGCAATTTGCAACTTTCGCTTGGATGTGCATTTTTTAAATCGTGACATATTATATATAAGAGAGAGAAGGAGTTTTTTATTACTGTATTTTTTGACAAAATAAAATTAATTATACAAAAAGATATGAAAAATAAAGCACCGATTTTCATTTGTAAATAATTAAAAAAAATGCTAAAATTTTTACGAGACAATTATTTCAGAACTCGGCTTATACCGATCCTGCAAAACGAGAAATAATAGCAAACGTCGGCGCCAGCCGTCAACAGGAATGTGTCGCACAAAGTCACCGTTGTAAATCGTGGCACGGGGTTTAATTTAACTCACGGTATTAATTCACTCCCCCGTCTCCCTTGGCCACCCACTCTGTTTCTGCTTATAAATTTGGGGAAGCTTGACTCGCACTCGAAATAGTCTAGGAGCTCTCAGTGGAGGATAGACGGCATCGAGATACGTATTGGATTTCAAAATGGATCGTAGTTTTAATATGGAGAAGATGGTTAATGTTCCAAGAATATAGACATCTTACCAGATGTCATCTTATTAGACAATAGATCGATCGTTAAACACACAGTTGTATATTTCTGAATATTATTTATGCGCGACAGTCACGAAGAGTTATGACGCGTGACGCGACCCGTCACTTTACTGTGCAATTCAAATTTCTCTTGATGTAAAATAATAATTTTGTCTTAAATGCGTTGTCTTAAACTATTTCCATCAATCGTGAATTGTAAAGTAAAAAATTTATTTTACGTTTTCCTAATTTTATTTATCAAAATATTTTTTGTTTCCAGATGCGTCAAAGATAGTAAAAGATGCGAAAAAATAAATAAATGATTTAGAAAACGTAAACTTATTATTGAAACTGTATATCAAATAATAAAATGTAATGATTAGTAAAATTTTTAAGAAATAATTTGTGATTTCTCAAACTTGTTCTATTGACTGTTGGAAATAGAATGTGGTTGACTATATATATATATCTACAACAAAGATGTAAAATTGAAAGTAGCACTTTAATCCACACGAACTAAGAAATGGAAATCACGTATATCTTGAAACAATTGACACTTCTCAAGCATTGAAGTTTAGTGAGTTAATTGGGCAGGTGTCACAAAACGACACAGCGGTCGCATGAATATGCAAGCATTTATATCACCGACATAGATCGTGTTCCAACTCATCGCGTTTCTCTTCGCGTCAAGATAATTAGATTTCAAAGCAAAGCAAACCAACGACAAGTCAAATTTGATAAAGATGAAGATGGAAAGTATAAATTTTCTAAAATATAAGAGAAAGTAGGAAAAAAAATAAATTTTTCAACAATCTTTACTTAGAAAGAAAGATATCTGATGTCATATATTTTATATATATATAAGATTTTTCCTACTGATAATCAGTAAAAAAAGTCATCCGATTTGAATAAACGGGCGAATAATGTTCGACCGATATATATCTCTTTGTATTAATACATGATAAAATATGTAATAAGTGAAAAGATTTAAAAAATAATATTTAATTACGTTTATTTATTATAAAATATAAGTAGAAAAAAATGAATTGGTCAAAAAATGTGAAATACGATTCTGATCGTACATGTAACACAGATCTTCAAGAAACGTTCTGAAAGATATCCTGAAATCATTCCAACGTCTTGAGAACGTTCACACGAAGATCTCTGGGATAAAGTGTGCTCGTTGTATGGGATTATTATTTAACTCATTTTAAATTACGAAATGTTCATATTTCGAAAGGAAAAGTTTTCGATGTTTACAGAATTAGATTAGATAGTTTTTGGTTAAACATCATGTGGATTAATAAAAGTTCTTCGTGACTCTCCACTTTTAGCAGGTTAATGGCGTTCCAGCATTTGCGATCGGAGGCACTCTGGACCACTTGATGACGGCAGCACTCACACGCGTGCGCACAGATGCACATGCATACACATACACACAGTTGATCTGTAAGATGGGAAGGGATGTGCAAAGATAGAGAAGATATAGCGAGAGATAAAGATGTATGCATGTGTGTGTTACTTGGAACGGAATTCGTGTTACAGCGCGACGTGTGATGATGGGCGGTCCATGTGATGATGGGCGAGGATTTGTAAGATAACGAGCCGGCGGATGCGGTCCCGATGAGTCTTCGCAGTGGACTGTTTCACTGGAGACTACGCGACAATATCCTGCAGTACGTGTTGCCTCTATAGTTAGATACACCTCGCGCCCCACTCACCCGGGGCTCGTCGACGAGAGCACCGGGCATCCGGATCGACATCGGGAAGACGATTACGAGGAAGCTTCACGTACTATTACCCTTTGTCTTACGACTTTTCAGAGGAAACCGATTCACAAAAGAAAATATTTAAAAACGAACGCTACAAGACGCATCCGTCGTTCCGTTCTTAGATCTCGTGTTAAAAACTGTTAATTGATTATAAAAATATTAGTATATTTTTGAACATTAAATTTAAAAATTGATTTCCGTATTCATCATACATTGTTTCATAGAAAGAATTTTGGAAACACTAAATAATATTAAAATGTGATAATTTTATTAGCGTTTTACAGTCTAACTCCTTGTAATTATTTTGTATTTTACTGAATGGACCTGGCATATTTGCGAAATACTTTACATTATAAATATACATGGAAGAAATTCAAAAATTTCTTTAATATGGTACATACAATTTAAAATAGCAATTAATTTAATTTAAAAAGTAACAAAAATATATAAAAATTATAAATCTTTTTAAAAACTTTCAAACAATTTTCAAGAAAGTTTCAAAAAATTATTTTAGTTATAGAAATTTTAATTTTTAATTAATTTTTTATTATTAATCATAAAATGTACATTGCTGAATAAAGAATTTCACGTAAACTTAAAAAAAAATTAGTTTTTTATATTAATTTTGTACAAACAAATGTAAAAGGATAATGATTTCGTGAAATAGATTATAAAATATTGTAATTGCTCACTGTGAAGGTATAGAATCCATCAGGCACCGGTTGACCGCCAAATTTAATGCTAAGGGTGTAGTCTCCCGCATCAGCAACAGTATAGTAAATGTTGACTGTGCCATCGCCGTTGTCTTCTATGTCAATGTCAACGACTTCGCTAAAATCACAAACCGAGACGTATTATTCACAGATTGAAATATAGAACGGAGATCCATTCAAGAAATATTCGTGTATGCCGCATATTTTCACGCCACTGCAACTTCATTCAGCAATAAGTAATGTAAATACTAAATGTTTTCACGCGATTCCATTCTCAATTGTCTAGATTTTTTAATCTAAAGTCAGAAATTTAAGAAAAGCCCTTTTCTTTAAAAACTCTTTTTCATCATGAAAATTAAATTTAAATTCTACATTCATGTATCTATAGCAATGAAAAATGTGGATTAATGACGGTGTAATATAATGATGGAATAAGATAAAAAAATTTTAAAGTTCTACTGAGAAATGTTTTTGTGACATCTAGATCGCGTAATTCATCTGAATATTTTTCCTCTTCATAAAAAAAATTTTATTTTTCATAAAAACCAACATTCGTAGAATGTACAAAATAAAATCGGATAATAAATTACATTTATATGATATTTTTACGTACTGCTTTAAATTGTAAATTATTATTAAGTGTTATGACACAGTCGTATAAAATATAATTGTAAAATTGTGTTTATTATAGAAAATACAGACACAGATAATATGACATCTTGTCATTTTGTACATTTGGGATAAAGAATTTGGCCCGTTTTAAAGTGTCTTTTCGACAGAAGACACTGCCAACTCGAACAACACGGAATCACAGATGAATTATGAGGTAACAGCTGTATACACCACTGTCAGCATTCAGAATGCATTTATAGTCGAATTGATTAGAATTGTGACAATCTCTTGGAGGGCACGCGCCTGATTACGCATAAAAGCACGCGATATGTAGGATAGAAAATGCACATGTTCTTTAGAAAATATCCCGAAATATTCACGAAGGACATAATCATGAAGATGCATTATAACGTCCATCTCTACATTGTAATAAGCAAACTCTCTTGATATTACAAAAAATTTAAAAAGTAATCTTAAGTAGTAATATAATTTTTTTTCTGATATATAGGATTTATCACTTAATTGTGTGTCATAGTAATGTAATCAAAATCATATCTTAAACTTTGTTAATTTCTTAGATATTTTTTCTGATATTTATATAAATTCATATAAATGTGATACAAAGAGTGTAATATATTTGAGTAATAGCTTGCAATTCTTTTCAATATGTTAAAAAAATTTTTTTTTTAACAGCTATGTGTCAAATAACACTGTGAAATTAAATTTAATTCAAATCCAACTCAAGTGTCACCATAAAACAAATGGATGAACAAATGTCTGAAACAAAGTAGTTTTACTACGAAATTTGCCAATGTGATTAAAGAGAGCATGTAAAGTGATCTACAGTCTGGCATCAGTTGTGACAATTAGAAAAGTATGTGCAACGTTATATAATTTATTAATCTGGCGCTAATCTAATTACAAATGCATGATATAACTACAGTGAAAAAAAATTCAAAAATTAAATCAATCTTAATACATATTTCTTTAAATAGTTACATATTAAATAAATATTTATTTACAGTTAAATAAACATTTACTCAATAAAACAAATGATAATTGAATCAAATTAATGATTTTGTATTAATAAATATATATTTAGTAAATATATTTACTTATTCAAACAAATATTTATTAAAATATAATATTTTTAGTATAATTTCGAAAGACGCGGATGTCGCATAAAAATAATTTTCTCATTTCTGTTAGCAATGGAGCATCGTTGCTGAAAAATATATATCTATATATATTGTTGTGAAATCAATCCTGTTTCCTAAATAATCATTCCTCTTGACTCGTCTGCTGTCGACATCAAGTTTTATTAAAAGTATATTTCGCTTTCAAATTAAATCAAACAGACATTTAATTTCAATGTTAAGATATGGTAGTCGGTAATGTCGGCATAGTCGCTGTGCAACTGGCCGAAGATTCACGACGATCCACTTATTATCACCTCGTACATGACGTTCATGGCAACGTGCCACGATCCTGAATCCTACCGGATTTGTTACACGATTTACGATCGATTAGTCATGCCGTTCATACTCCAGATCTAATCCCAATATACAATTGTAAGTCAGCAAAATGTAACATGTCTTTATTGTTTATGTTTCTTATTTGTTTTTTTAATTTGTTTAGTTGATCTATTCGTTAATTTATATTTATAGCAATCCTTATCATTTAATTGCAAACAATACATGTATCAAGAATATGCATAAGCATTATTTATTCAGAAAAATAATTTATTATGATAATTAAAATTTATAAAATATAAATTAAATAATTATAAAAGAAATATAAAATGTAATAATATAATTTTGTGTATAAGAAACATATATTAGGTGTTGGAATTAATTCGTAGCGTTTTACAAGTGATGGGAAGTACTTTCATTAATGTATTTTTTAATGCTCATGTGAAATAAATAACATTCTTTCATTAAAAAACGCTACGAATTAATTCCAACACCTAATAATATAATATTACAGAAGAATGAAATAATAATTTATTATAATTAATTCTTCAATATTTATACATTGAGAAATCGAGAAAGATGTAACAGTAAGAGATCTTTCTCAAGTTCGTCTATAAATTCAAAATAAGTAAGTCGCGACGGCGCGACGTATTTAAATTTAAAATAAGATGGAATTTTTATCTGGAAGCTTGGTGAAGATCGAAAGATATAAATGCGAAGAAAATGTAAAAATATAATCCGCCTTCGTATATTCCAAGATTATTCGTAGTTAGGTATAAAAGTTATAACGTGCAAAGAATATTATTATTGAGAAATACAATAAAAAGATTTTGCGAGGAATTTAATAAATAGAAAGCATGGAAGGAGAATTTGTCTATCAGTTAGTATTTCTTATAGAAATAAATGAATAAAAGTATAATTACATAATAAAAAAAATATTAAAGTTGCATAGACGAAATAAAGTTAAGTTAAAAATAAAATATTTCTGATTAATTAACACATATAATACTCATAATTTCTTTCTTATATATTTTTTCCAGTGTTTAATATTTTTCTTAAAAGCGATATTTCTTAAACATATTCTAATTATAAACGACAAAAAAATTAAAAAATATTTGTGATTTATATATACATGATGACAAATTAAATCTCAGATTTTAAAAGAAGAACGAATATGAGAACATTTTGGTAACTGCGAGAATAAATTTTAAAGGTTCCCGCAATGTCTCTCCTCTCTGATTCATCTTCTCCGAAATAGTCAAATTTAAATCGGAACGAATCAAGCAGATGCTTACCTTCCAGTAGTGGAGCGGATGCGGCAGGTCACTGCACCGCGGCCTGCATTTTCAGTGTCCACGGTAATGCAGTATTCCTCGCCCTGAGCCAAAGTGTGCTGAATGCCCTCTTTGATTTTACAATTGTTCGCTGAACCGATAGATGTGCTCTGCACGGTCACTGGGCTGTTCGGCACTTCTTTACCGCCGTATTTCACGTTGACCTTATAGCGACCGCAGTCGTCTGGCAGATAGGTTGCCTTATACTTTCCGTCGCCTAGATCTTGCACTACTACCTTACGCGGCACTTGATCTGGTCCCTGAAAGAAGAATTCAGGAAGACATTAATTGCGAAAATATGGATAAGAACGATTGTTCATACAACTTCTTTAATTATTCGCGAGTCACTTAGTACGTAGATCAATATAAATCTTTCTTATAAGAGTAATCAAATTAAGTTGTAATTTTTAGAACTACCTATATTGCTCGTTACGATCGTTATAACCACGATACTGATTATATTTGCGTTCAAATTGAATATAATAATAAATACGATTGACTGCTATGATGGTTGGTAAAAACGAAAGTTTTGATTGTACATACATATATGTAGTATAAGAATAATTTGGACAATTTATCAAGGTACGAAAATATAACAAGTCAACTTATTAGCGATATTAAAAACTTTCTACACAGTACATTTAAACCAGACAAAGCAACTAAACTGTTTGCCGAGCAGTTGAATCTATAAAAAAGACCCAATTATGTTCAATCGCTCGATAAGCAGATTAGATATTTTAGTTCTTGAACATCTAATATCTTATATATCTTAATTTATATGTTTTTTCATCACACATTTTATTACAATTTGAAAGGAATAGCTTAGTCTTATATAATCTCTATATTTTTTTCTTATTTTGTACATATATTAATGCAAATTAATGAACATCTAATTTTTGTGTTAGATTAATGTAATTACATAACTTTAAATATTAATAATTATAAAGCTCAAATATGTCCAGATATAAAGATTAAATCAATTTTAATTGTCAATTTAATACATACAATATATTTTCATAAGTGTACAATAATATAAATATTTTATAAAATAAATTTGTCAAATATTTTTGTTGTATCACCGATATTGTACGCGAATAAAAAAATATATAAAATTATTATATTATGAAGACTTTGTTATAATTAAAAATAATTGAAAATTTCTGTAAAAGTAATTGAATTCTAAAAGGATGATTATTACTTCATTTAAAATATTATTCAACGTCCATTTAATAACAAATTCAAGATGTCGGATAACTGCTTTCTTATAATAGTTTCACCAGCCATGATCTATTGTAGGCTTCCAAAATTATTAAAAAAAATTCATTTAGAAAAAGTTTTATAATCTGTAATTTAATTGTGTTTTATTCTTGATAGTTTTGATATGAAGCAATATTTGCGAGAATCTTTTATATATTTATCTGAAAAAATGAATTATTTTTAATAATATTAATAAGTTTAACGCTATTTAAAAAAAACATATAAATTTTTGTTTCGTTATTCGAAATCAAATATATAAATATAGAATATTAAACACTCGATACAAAGTAGGAACAGAAAGAAATAAATTGGCAATGAGTGTCAAGCGCGATAATTGATACAAAACACTTTGCGAGACCCTATACACTTACCACAACTTGCACTTCAAGATCGCCGTAACCAGCATTAGAAGTGTCCACGATGAAATCAATCGGGAAGGAGGCAGTGCAAAAGGGCGCCACCCCGGGACCCGACAAAGTTACCTTGTTTGGCTCTACGAAGGGCAGAACTTTCACATCGAACGGACTGCCGTTGATATTGTCGTCATCGAAAGTAACATCAAGTCGCACGTTACTTCCAGCAGGCGGTGGCTGATATGTCACCTCGTACAGGCCGTCACCTTTGCTCTTGATCTGAGGCTCCTGTCCCAAGCTAGGCGACATACGTACTTTCACCGGTGCCTGTTTGTCGCATTTTGATGCGTCTACCGTGAACTTGGCGGGCACACCCTCGCGTACCATGTGCAGACCGGGTCCGTAAGCAATCACGTTCTTTTTCGGCGATATAACTTTGATCTTAAATGGCGAACCGGGTATGCTCTGTTCGGCAAATTTAATGTCGATTTCGTAGTCACCAGGTTCCCTGGCAACGTATTCGACATCGCAGGAACCATCCCATTTTTCCCTGGCTTCCGCTCTGACCTCTCCGTCACCCGTAATCGACACACCCAAACCACCATTACCAGCCCCTGAAAGAAAATCGCATACATGCTATTTCTTCCCACCTTCGCTACATAAAAATATTTTTCCTCTTCTATATAATAATTACTATGTTCTAAAAAATAAATTACTATGTTCTAAATTATACATAAATTGTAGGTAGTATAAAATTACAGCATTTTGAGAATTTGATCGAATTATTGGCTTACCTTTAGTCTCCACCGTAAAATAGTTTGTTTTATCTGTGATGCCTTGCTCCAAACCAGGACCATATGCACGGCACTTGCTGGGATCGGAGGCACGTTGTACGTTGACGGAGAATGGTGAACCCGGGATGGGCACGTTGTCGTAGAGGATGTCGATGGTGTAGCAACCCTCCTCGAAAGGCGTGTAACTGACGCAGTAGGTGCCATCACCCTGGGGGATGATGAGCTTCTCGGTTTTACCGCCACTGGGATTATTTATGATACAGGACACCTTACCGTCATCAGTCTTCGACTTGGTGATGTCTCTCGTGTCTATCGTGAATGACGTTTGCTTGTTCACGAATAATCCTGCAAAACGCGATAACACGACATGATTAAGTGAAAACGCTCGAATGCTTTTTTTTTTTTTTTTTTTAATAAAATCTGCATCTAATATATCACAAAATATCTAATATACACATACATATATGAAATAGTAATATTTTTTTAAATTAAACTTTGTCATTCTAAAAAATTATATATCTTAAATTATATATTTATTTCATGCGTTAAAAATTCGAGATTGATACTTGATGATGTAGTGAAGTGTTTTTATAACAAACAGAAAGATTAAAGTATTTAAAAATTTAGCTAGATATAAATCTGAAAATAACTTTGTTGGATATCGAAATAATGGTATAGGGTGCTTAAGAATGATGAGCAATGCTGCAAAAAATTTTGACATTCCAGCAATAAACTTGAATGTTTTACATAATTATTTTGATGATCCAATATATTAGGTGTTGGAATTAATTCGTAGCGTTTTATAATGAAAGAATGTTATTTATTTCACATGAGCATTAAAAAATACATTAATGAAAGTACTTCCCATCTCTTGTAAAACGCTACGAATTAATTCCAACACCTAATATATAAAATTATTTTTAGACCTGTATCTGATTAAATTTTTAGATACTTCAGAAAAACTGTTCTTTTAATATAGAAACTGTAGATTTCTTCAAAATCAAATTTTATAATAGCGAAGATATTTGTAATCTTGTATTTTAAATTTAGCATAATTTCTTAACAGATTGAAATTTGACATAAAATAGTAATATAAAATTGTACATATCTTTAATAAATTTTAATATTAAATTTATCAAATATACTTTTATATTACTAATACCTCGTAATAAATTTATAATAGATGTATAATTTTTAAATATATTTCTACAATATTATGTTCCTGACTATTTTTCTGATTAAACATCTACTTGTTTTAAACAATATGTAGTACCTAATTTAATAAATTATTTATTAAAATGACAATGCATAAGCGCATATTGCAAAACGTAGTTGCAGTCTCTAAATGATTAACACAGACACAAATCACAATAATATATAAGATTATTATTTGTGGCATATTGGATTTTAAACTAAAAATGAGGCCATGCTCGTAGAAAGAAATAAACTTAAATTATTGTTTCGTACATACTTTTTACAAACATGCCCTCTAATATTCTTCAAGCTCATTCAAGTGTTTTACAACAAGTGTGTATGTTAATAAATGATTACGATCGGAAAATCCAAAGCAGAGAATGTCATGATAACCAACGATAAAAGTGCAATCATGACACACATGCATCACAACATCAACGCGTCTCAGAATAATTATCGGGATTTTCTAATCTTTTTCTATCGATAAAAATATTTTCCTCGTCGTAGTCTCAACGAGTTTTTCTCAAGATCAAATCACAACATTCGTGCAACTTGAAAAATTCATTTCATACATGCACGAATATCTAATGTGTGCATGTTCCTTGAAAGTCAATACGAAATCCCGACGATCGAGAAACAATCCTTTAAAGCCATTCCTACAAAATCCCGAGACGCGTTTCAAAACTCATCACGCAAATTAGAGACGAGCAGGTCACAGCACTCTCTCAATTTCCAATCGCAAAACGATCTCCGTGCTGACGTCCTTAACGGTACCGTGTGGCTGGATGCCGTTCCCGCTGACTCTGATTTTGGATAGGTCCGCATCCGGTACGACAATGGCCTGGAAAGGCGAACCCGGCACATGTTGTTCGTTGAAGGTGATGTTGATACCGTAGTCACCGGTCTCGGTGGGCAGATAAGCGACGGAGCAGGTACCATCGCCGTTGTCCCTGCAATTTATCGCGGCTTCGCAAGGACCCTCGACGGTCACGCCGAGACCACCTTGGCCAGCTCCACGAGTGTCAATCACGAACTCGGCCGGTTTGTTCACCACACCGTGGGAGAGACCAGGTCCCGAAGCGCGCACCTTGCCCGGATCGGAGCCATGAACGCAGGTCAGCCGGTACGGCTGATTCGAGATTGGCTCGCCGCCGAAGCTGATTCCCAGCAGATACTCGCCTAGCTCGGTAGGGGTAAAGTTAACCAGGTAGCCCTCGTGAGTCGGCACCACGTGCGCCTTGACCCGATTGCCGGACGGAGTCGTGATCGCCACCTGGAAGTCCGCCGCCCTGCCCGCCTCCTGCGTTATCACGCGGAATTGCTGCAGGCTGTTCACCGGGGCCGCTGCGAGGACGTTTGCGGGTTCTCGTGGTGAGCCGCGATGCATTTTTCGCTTGTGCTTGCGCGACGGGACGACTGCCCGTGAGCAACGAACGGACGTCGCGCCGACTTGCTGGTGAAATTATCGTTGATTCTCATCGAAGAGATGATTGAAGAAAAATTGAAATATGCTCTCTAAAACTTGTTGAGTGATTCACTCTTCAAAGTGTATTCTACTTCAAAAAATTTAGAGGATGAACTAAACGTGCAAGCATGATCGAAAGATTTGAACGATTAATTGTAACATGTAGTTTACGATCAACATTCACCAGCAAGTGACAGCCGGACATTCGTTGCGCAAAGCCTACCATAACGTTAGATTTCAAATACTGGATATGCATCAAGTTGTGAGAGAAAGCCACTTGTTACATACATAAGCCCACAATGCGCGTGTAAATTAGGCAGAGTGTATTCCAAATAAAAGAATCTCTCGCGATTATGAAACTGATAACGTGTCTTAGTTAAAAGTGCATTCAGTTATAATAAATATATTATCCAGCGTGCAGAAATAATTATTTGTTCTTTATATTATTTGTTCTTTACATTATTTATTCTTTATTATTATATCAATCTGATTATGTTGCAAATCCGAAAAATAATCGACACTCATGTCATAAAATTTATTTAAAAACATATGTATTATTCCAACATCCGACTTTGACTGTAAGTGGCACTTTTCTCTCTCTCTCTCTCTCTCTCTCTCTCTCTCTCTCACTTCGTTGATTTATTTACTTTCTAAAACTTTTAGAATGAACTGTCATTCTAGAAAGTAAAATCTCATCCTTAAAGATTGAAAATTGAGCCATTCTTTTTCATGACTGGATCAATTCATTCTTTAGAGTAAAATTCCACTCCAGAGAATTTAGAGAGCATATGGTAGCTTTGTGATTCTAACTAATTATTAATTATTTATTATTATAGAAATGTATATTGATTTTTCTTGGACGCATTGCTATTCGCTTTGAATTTTATCGTGACAATGTTAGGAGCTGCCTTCCTTCCAGGTAAAGTCACATCGAAGGAGCAACGCGTGGAGCATCGAAGTGCAATATTTTTAGACAAAACGCGAAATTGTGTGCGTGTCAACTGTGGGGAATTCGCGAGCGCCGTTATAAATAAAACATCGGTTCGCGCTGGTTCGCACTCCAGTAAAACATCTATCCGAGGGGAGACCTTGGTAAAGTATATTTCGAAAATCTAGGCTAGATAACGCCCCGGGAAATGTTCCCAAAAAGAATATTAGCTATATGCCATGAGACGAGAATTATCTTCTCAATGACCGCTGGAAGGAGTGCGATTTTGGCACGATTCATTTTCGAACTAATGCTGATACACCTACCTAAGTGCAAGATCTTATTTTAATCATAAAATTTTAATTGCACTCTTATTATTCCTTCTCTAACCGCGCTTAACAAATTACTAAATTAAACTATATAATAAACATAAAATTTTTACTATGAGAGAATTATTTCACTCAAACCAGATATATACAACGTAATATATAATGATAAATAACGATAAATATCTTTGATTATTTCTTGTTAATAGTCAATTTAATCTCCAAATTCCTTAGGGTGAATTCTCACTCCAAAAGAGTGAAAATTCTACCATTCTCGAAAAAGAAGTTGAATTTTCTTCTTTGGAGGGAGATTTCATTCTTTTGGAATGACATTCACTTCAAAGAATTTAGATAGTACACTATGCATGTACTCGTATTACGTTATTAATTAAGTTAATTTATAAATCCAATATATTGTAGTAATTAAAAAAATAAAACAATATTATATTTTACTTAATATGTATTATAAAAATCAGAATAATAATAATAAAAGGCTATAAAACACGCTATCAAGTTTATTATCATTTTAAACGATGCGATATTACGTTTAAGAGTATTCAACTATTGTCCCAATTTCGTGGGACAAAATGTTGCATATAATATCTTGGTTTGAGCATATATATGTGATTAGTAACACATCTAATTAAATCTGATTTTAAATAAACCGATAGCGTATAGTAATCGAAATATTAGGCAACACTTAAAAAATTTTCAGTAATTGTACTCACTTGGTGCCAGACCATCCACTTTAATCTTGGACACGTCCACATGAGGCTGAACGTTGATCTTAATGGGGCATTGAGGTACCTTCAATCCGCCATAGTTGAGATTCACCGTATAGTTTCCTGGCTGTGGGGGCATGTAGTCTACGACGTACGTGCCATCCTCATTATCCGTTAACGAAATTGGAAGTTCTCGGCCTTCAGGATTCAGCATTTTAACGTCCAATTTACCGGGGCCAGCCTCGCGACAGTCGACGTTGAAATGTGTGGGAACATTAGATTTCACACCTTTCTCAATACCAGGACCAAAGGCAGAGACCATAGCAGGATTCAAGGGCGAAGCTATCTTAACTCTGTATGGAGATTTCTTCGTGGCCACTCCGCCATAATTCACCTAAAGAAAAAAATATCTTTAAAAACAATGTTATGCAGTAGAGATACTTATTTTTTCTAGTATCTATACCTATAAATAGATACAATTCTTGTATACCGGTACCTATATTTACGCATAATTTAATTACTTTTTAGATAATACTTTTTCTTGTACTAAATGCATGTTCAACGCGCGGATATGTTAAACTTACTTGCATAGAATATTTACGTATATACATATAAAATGCATATATAATAAATATTTTGTACGGATACATGAAATCATAAATGCCTATTTATTCTGAAGTTTTATATTAATAAATAAAAATACTTATATCTAAGTATTTTTGAGATACTTCTTGAGATACCACATTTGAGATACTAGATAAAATATTTATACTTAGGCATTTTATTTTTCTAATACCTGTATCTTAGTATATTTCTTTCAAAGTATCTATATTTATATCTTATATGTAGTAATTTGCTAAATACAAAGCACCTTGCATAACACTGTTTAAGAAATCAAATTACACTGAAATTTCATAAGTCACGCTTTTATTGAGTATTTTAGCACAATATTTTTTGAGATTTCTACGGATATTTTTTTTAAGTTACAAGGCGAAAACTTCGTAAGCTCGTAGTTGATCTTAACAACAAATAATATTTTGTGTATATATTTTAAAAACTGAGATTTTATTCTGCTTAAAAAATTTACCTTGACTACTTTAGTCTTTTCTGGTTATTCAAAAACAGCATGTTTCAAGGACACATTACAAACAATAAGCAAAAGTTCGATTCAAGATTTTAGAAATCAATATTCTAAAATTGTACCATCACAACATGCGGTGAGCTAGATGTAGGTGTGTAATACGCTTGAACAGTGCCGTTCCGGTTGTCGCCTAATCTAAGAGGAACTTCTTTTCCAAGAGCATCTTGAATGGCAACTTCCAGAGCCGCCTGACCGGCTTCTCTCGCATCAATCGTAAAATTCGTCGGTTCGTCTTTGGCAACACCTTCTGGCTGAATTCCTGGCCCATAAACTTCAACCTATATACAAAGCATATATATTCGATATCTTCCTTGTCCAAGTCAATAAAAGCAATTTTCGTTTATTTAGTTAGTACTAAAATTATTGCATGTGAAAACCTGTAAAATCTTATGTTTTTTATTATATATATATAATATTATATACAATATTAGATATATATATATATATATATATATATATATACACATTAAAATTTATAAAAACGGTTTATATAAAACAAAGTTATATACAAAGAAATGTTAATAGTGAAATGAAGACTCGAATTTACCTTCTCTGGATCAAAATCAGTCTTCGGCGAAATAGTCGCGATATAAGGCGATTTAGGGATGTCCTCGTTATCGCAGAGGATATGGACCGCGTATTGGCCCGGCGCGGTGGGCAGGTAAGAAACATCGGGCGCCAGTCTCACCGTTTGTGTTTACTGTAAATTTCGCTGGATGACCGACGACGCCGGTGTGCAGACCAGGTCCAAAAGCCTTGATGTTGGACTCCTTATAAGGACCTACATTGACCTCAAAGGGCGACTTGGGAATTTCTTTACCGCCATATGTGATCATTACTACGTGACGGCCTTCCTTAACCGGTGTATAGTGGCATTTGTAAGTCGTAGCGTCGGTTTTGGATATTCTAAAGTAATTCAATGTCGTTGATTAAATCGATAAATTTAAAGCAAAACATCTCGCATAAGATATTCTAACATATTTACTCTATTTTATATTTTTTTTGTTTTACAAATTTGAATAAATAAAATTTTTATAATTTCATTTACAATTCTTACAATTCTTGACAATTGAGTTTTATCTCATTAACGTTTTAACGAAATATAGCGTTTTCCATTCATTTATGATTTTTTTCATTAACATATAAAAAAATTATATAAAAATAATAAAATATAAAAACAAGAAATGTGACATAAATAAAATTTTAAAAGTAACAAAGTGTTTTTACAAACTAAAATAATAAGAACTTACTGCACTGGTTGACTGACGCCTCCTGGGCCGATTACGCGAATGTCCGGTACACCCTCACCAGCATCCTTAGTGAGGACAACGAAGTCGGCGATGTCCTGGACGCGGACGCCAGTAGGCAACAATCCTCGTCCGTACGCTCTGCATTTCTTCGCATCGGAAACCGGTGCAATGTTTACACCAATGGGACTTCTAGGTATGGGTTTGCCGGCGAAGAATATGTTGACAGAATGTAGACCCGTCACTGGCGATACGTACTCGCATCTCCAGACGTCTGGCGAGGTCTGACGCAGCTTTACCGATGTAGTCTTGCTACCCTGTAATAAAATCACATATAAAAATATTTTAATAAAATAGTAAGATTCATTGTAATGATATAATTTAATTATGTATAATAAGAATAATAAAACAAGCTCTACAGAATATAAATCTGGCGTTCTAAAGACGTTTAACTGGTAGAATGTTCACAGGACGTTTCGATGTTAAGAGACATCATTTTTTTACCTGAGGATCTAAGATGATGACTTCAGGCACACCGCGACCGGCGTCCTTTGTAAAGATATCGAAGAAAGTTGGTCTATTCACGACGACTCCTTCCGGTTGCAGACCCGGCCCGCTTGCCGTGACTTTGCTCGGATCACCAGCGTGTCCTTCGACATTAACGGTGTATGGACTCTTCGGGATCTCTCTGCCAGCGAAGAGTACCTTCACTTTGTGCGGACCTTCCATTTTTGGAGTATATGACACGGAGTATGTCAGGTTCCTGTCTTTATTGAATCTGATATCGACCTTGAAAACGAAATTGAGTCGGCATCATTAAAATGTAATGCGAGGAATAAAAAGGAGGCGTACGTTCAACTTGTATAGTATATCGTGAAGTTGAAGATTATCTAAATGTATGAATTATACTTGTAATATAATTTACATTCAGATAATGCGTAATCGTCAAAGTCACACGGCACATAAATAGTCATTACATCATACGTATCCACATCCTGTGATGTAATTATCATGATTGCGATAACATTTTTCGACTTCCGACAATATGCTTAATAGATTCTGTTGGGACTATGTATATCTATTTGTATTAATATGTATTAATATTAAAAAAAAAAAATTTCGCAAGTCTGATCCATTTCTAATAAAATAAAAAATTGTCTTAACAACAATTTCTTGTCATCTTCGATCTTCGTCTTGATAATCAAATAAATTAAAAAAATATTATTAATATTTCTAACTGAAATAAATCAAACTAGTAATTTTTCAAAATATACTACAAATATAATTTTTATAATCCTTTTATAATCTCACAATAAGCTTAATTACTTCTTGGTAAACATGAATAGTACATTATATGAATATTATAATTTCCAATTTACTAATATAATTATAATATGTAATAGATGTTAGATAAATGTTGTACGTAACAGTTAAATAATAAATTATATATCGATAATATATTATTGTCAATTGATATTTACTAACAATGAGTTATAAAAAAAATTCTCGTTTCGGACTCATGAAAGGATTGTAAAAAAAATTATTCTCAATCTTTGGAAATATTTAGAATGTAAAAAGTTATTCTAAATCTTTCTTTGAAAACAATTTACATAATTCAGACCAATCTTTTAAGATATCAAAATATTTTATATATTTGAATACATGATTAAACGCTATTTTAGGGCCTTACCGGTAATTTATTCCCTTTGGGATCATCGACGATAACATCAACGTTACCCTTGCCAGCGGAGAAGGTTTCCACGGTGAAATTGGCAGGAGCACCAACGATTGAACCAGTTGGTTCTATACCGGGACCATAAGCGCGTACTCTGCACAAGAAAACATCGTGAGAAAAGTCACTTTGCGAGCTGCCAGTCAGTGGCCGCGAACATTGTTACATCAATACGTTAAATAAATCCATTTGCCAGACGGTTACAAGCGTTGCTTTGTGCTATGATGTTGCGCGATTTGCGTCGTTCTTTTTCAAAACAAATTTGCAAGCGCGCGACATTTTGCAGACTTGCGGACACTCATTATCCGGTTAGTTCAATTCGTGAAACTTTCACGTATACACATATGTACAGAGAGATTAATTAATAGTATTAATTAATAGTATTGCTCTCTAAATTCTTTAAAATGAAATCTCACTCTAAAGAGTGACAATTGAGTCAGTCTTGAAAAAGAATTTAAGAGTGGGAGTTCACTCTATGGAATGATAATTCATTATAAAAATTTTAGATAGTAAGTTTTTTGAAAAAAGAAATCTATCTAATTTGCAAAACTCGATAAGCTATAAAATTATTGTCAATATCGTATTAATCAAACTCTCGTTCGTTTTCTCTTCATGAGGTTTCCAAATCATGTATTTTTTTGCTAATCGCGCACTACGCAGTTTAATTACTCTATCAAGCGTTTACGTACATATATGAACAAAGGAAAAATTAGGAGTGTTGGGTTAAGAGGTAGATCTCATCAAGGCGGTGGACATTAATTGCGCAAAAACCGTTATACGTCACAATACATGATCATTGCGCGACTTACCGCGGCGGTGGGATGCTGCGACCGAGAAATGAAATAAATTGATTAATTAATCACAATCACTGTAACAGAGATCTACGCGCGCACTTCATCTCTTTTATATTTCTACTAAATGCCATACCATCAAAATGTAAAAAAAAAAAACATTATTTTTACGAAAAAATTTTTGTAAAAAAAAAAGAACATTTGTAATCGTATCAGATCATCCTTGAACGATCAAAATTATAATAAACAGCACAGATTGTAACATTTTTTGTGAACAATGTAATTTTAGGAAACGAAAAAAATCATATAAGGTATTTAAAATAAAGGAAATTGTTTACAATAAATAAATAAAAAAGTAAATACATAATATAAAACCATGATAACACTTTAAAAAATATAAAGTTTTTATCCCTACCTGTTTGGGTTCGTGCGGGCGCGCAGAGGTGCACCTGGTTTTAATTTTGCGCTGGGATATTGTGATAGGTATGTCATCATCGACATCTCGTCGATGTTTGGATTTACCATCTCTTCGGGTTTAATGAGCTGCAACGAATGACATAATTTATGGAACGCTTCTCAGCCGTAAGATTAAAAATTCATTTATCAATATTGATATCTTCTAATTTTTATGCTATTATATTAACTCTTAATTAGCTCTTTTCGCAGATAATCTTCAATTAAAATATAATCAAATTAAATTTACTTTAATAATATCTTAAGAAATTAGTATATAATTGAGGGGATGAGCGGAATAAAGATCTAATTAGAAAACCTTGATATTAATACAAATTAAAATAACTTGTTACTTTTTATTATACACTTTATTAAATCATACAATATCAAATGAATTTATGTAATATCTTAAGAAGTTACATGTTACTTTTCTATTATAAAAAAGCTAATTGCCGGAAAAAGACCCTAAGTAGAATCGTGCTTTTATCCCGCCCATCCCCTCAATTAATAAAGTCTAGTGTAATATTAATTAATCAAGCCTAGCCTTCTTTATTCCGTCATTCTTTATTTTCGTTTTTCTTTTCGTTATTCTTTTAATTCGTTTAAAATCGAATGAATTGTAATATATATAATAATATTGCGGCAAACCTGAGGAATATTGAGCCAGTCATCAGCGAGGCCCATCGCTTCGGACGCGTTCTGGACCGCATCTTTTGGGTTCCAATCCCGCCAATCCGGGCAAAGGCCAGGTGCAACCGCGTCAACAAGCGCACCCACCGCGCGACCGTCGTTCCAATCGGAGGTAAAGTTCGAGATCGGCAGATCCGGCACTTTCGATTGGATCCAATGCATCAGCCTTTGCTTCGGGGTAGCGCCCTTGTCCTCGCCGTCGTCGCCTTCCCACATGGGCATAGAGATCGAATAATGCAGGATCAGGGTCCATATTAAACCGAGGATCAACTTTAATTTACAGTCTACAATGTCCGAAGAATCTGCGAAATAAAAGAGAGAAAAAAGATAAATGTTCTGCGTAAGCAAGCTCCATATAAAGTTCTTTTACAAAAAAATTCAATTTAATATTAGCCAATTCAATATTGAAAATTATTTAAAAGCACTAAAGAACAATGTTTTTAATACAAAAGAAGTAATTAATCATTCTCTTCCAATATTAAATTTCTGTAAGAATAAATTATTATTATTCTGTTGTTGGATAGGTAATGCTGAAACATTGGCCGTAATTCAAATGTATTATGTTTATGAATTCTTCTTCTTAATTTTTAGCAGTATCGATTAACAAAAGATTGTTATTAGCGAAAGATTAAATTTTACTATCATATTTAATGTAAAGATTTCTTCTTATTTTATATTGATACTGCGAAACAAATTCACAAGTTTAGAGACAAGAAATCTTATTTTAAAATTGCTATCACATTCCTAAATACGCATGGTA